GCGCGTTCGAACGGCTGGCTTACTTCCGATCTCCATCTCGAGCCACAGCTTCATCTGTTTGCAGTGTGTTAGCAGGCGGCCCCTGGACAACATGCGAGTCTCAACTTACGGGAGCAGAGCGCTTGAGGTACTTGGCGGTGGTCTCGATGTTGTAGGAGACATCCTCTGTATTTCGTTAGCTACAGCCTCAGGCAGATGGGCTCGAGGACTACGAACCCTCAGAAAGGTCGATCATGTGGGAGGAGAAAAGGGGAGTGCCGGAGCGCTTGAACTCCTCCTCGTCGGCGGCGATCATGCCGTCGAGCCATGGCAGAAGCTTCTTGCTGCGACAGGAGTCAGTTTCCGCGAGGGACCAATGGACTTGAGGAGGTCGGATTGGACTTACGCGCAGTGGTCGGAGTGGAGGACGACGGGAACGCCGTAGATGGGGGCGATAGAGCGGATGTAGTGGGCGGCAGCGATGGCACCGGCGACGGAAGCCTCCTGCTTCTCAGCGCTGTTGGGAATGCCCTTGCCGGCGAAGTAGGCGGCACCACCCTGGGAACTGGAGAGCTGTCAGACACTTTGCAATATGGCGCCGGCGTGGCCTCTGGGGGCTGCGACGTACGTCTGGAGGATGATGGGGGACTTGGCCTCGCGGGCAGCCTCGAGAGCGGCAACGGCGGTGGAAGAGGAGGTCTGCGAGGCGGGGTCGTTGTTAGCCGATTGTCACCAAATCACCCCTCATTTCAGTCCTTTTCTCCCTTTTGCTCCTGCTCTGCGACGCAACACCGGTTGGCGGCATGGAAAGTACTTACGACGTTGGCAGCGGGAATGGCGAACTCCTTCTCCTTGGCGTAGGTGAAGAGCTTCAGCAGGTCGTCGCCGTAGACGACACCGGGCTTGATGTTGAGATCCTGGAGGAGACCCATTGTGGATGGCGGGGTATCTGACGTGTGTGAAGGAGTTTGGTAGGAGGGGTTATTTCCTGTTACGAGTTGTCCAGAAAAAGTTTGGACTCTGCGAATTGATGCTCAGAAGCAATGAGTTGGGAGAAGTTGCAAGGTTGAGGTATTGGGAGAGAAGAGAGAGGAAGAAGATTCAATAGCAAAGTTTGGAATCAGGTGGACGCGGCCGAGTTATGTTTGATTCACACGAGCGGGATTTTAGTCGGGCTGAGCACACCTGGACGAGCCAGACCCGGTCCATGGTCCAAGGTCCAAGGTCCATTGCATCGCTCCAGTTACCGGCGGACCGCCTGCACTGCTTCCAATGGTTCACTGGGTCACTACCCGTGTTGCGTGAGGTGCAGAGGTACATGGGCCCGAACCGGCGTCTACCTGAGGAGGAGCTCCGCTCTGGCAGCTCCATGTTGCGTGGTTGCTTCCTGCTCAGGTCACTCCGGCCTTGCGATGAGGCAGGAGGTGCGACGAGGTACGTCGTGCTGCCGTCTGGGCATGTACCTTTGCCAGGAGATATCCAACATGAAGAGCTATTATAAGACATGCGCAGGACCCCCGAAATACCCAGAGGCGATGCCCGGTTCCCAAGATAGACGCCAGTGTTTTACAATGTCCGATGAGAGAAACACGACCATCCAACGATGGGAGCGTGTCTTGTCGCTGCCTCAACCTCTTCGAGTTGTTGAGGGGCAGCAAAGGACGAGGTACCTCCACCACGACGTCCATGTACCTTTTTCCTTGGACCGGGGACAGGCTGGACGAGCTGGCACGAATCACAGGGCGCCTTTCTCTTGCTCTTACCACACACTGCACCGCACCGACACCGCGACCTCGTCAAACGCGAATAACCCCTCCCCCACCCACCGTCCAATTGACGTCAAAAAATATGGCCGCTGCACCACCTGTCGGAGTCATTGGGGGGTAAGGATCCACCACTTAATCCCTCGCTGCTCTGTGCATTTTCATGGCTTGCTATGCTCTTTTTGGGCGACGTTGGTCCGTTTCCCGCTGCTTTTGTGTGGTGGTGCTTTGCCTAGCTGGCAGTTTTTTTTTTTCCTCTTCCCCCATTAGCTGCACCGACACCGCTGTTGGCTGCTGACAATCATGGCATTTGACTTTTCCACCTCGAGATATCTCGGCCTTATTATGGTGTCCGCTGCGATATTTAATGGATTGCCCCGTGGACATCGAATGACTCGATAGCCTGGCTTTCTATCCCAGGGCTACTTCATGGATTACTGCTTGGCATCCAGCACGCCTTTCACCGAGAAGTTCTCGGTGTGATCTTCCCACCTACATCCCATCTGTCCTGGAAGCTGATGATGCTCTCGGGAAACTCCCACGTCGCCCGCAACAACGAATCTCCGTCGCACATGCTACACCGACCCCTCCACTACCCCTCCATCCCGTTCCGAGCGCCAGCATGAACAGCCCGATCTCACCTCGCCAATTTCCTTACCTTATGCAGGCCATGCCCCGGAAAAGCACGGCCAATCGCGCCGCTTCATGACGATAACCTCCCCGGCCATGAACTCATCCTGGCACCTTTCCCATTCGCACCCTTTCCACCCCCAGCCTTAGCCATTGCCGAAGCCCGGGAAGATGCGGGATCGCGTCGGGCATCTCGACCCTTCGTCCGCCGAGGATCGAAAACTCACGACTCCAAGAGACGAACTCGTGGCCACCACTTCCTCGGTCCATCGCCTCCCGCCCCGCGATGTCCTCCTTGGTTGCCGGAGAAATTCCACACAGCTCGGCTCATCTCGTGTCTCTGATATCGTGACTCTCCACTTGCACGAGTTTCTCTTTCCGTCCTCCGGCGCAAATACGACCTCCAGCTCGGGTCCAAACCACGAGCCTGCATATGCCATGCTGTGACTTCACAAACATCTCGATGACTTCTGGCCAATAGCGTTACTTCTTGGAAATTCTTCAAAAACTTATCTAGTCAGTTTTGATACCACCTTGACAAGCGTCTAGCCTCATTATCGTGTACAGACGAACCAGACTGACACTTTTCTTCTCTTCCAGCAGCTTTCCGTGTCTTCATTAGCGCCGTTGCGTCGTGGGTATGTATCCGTACATCGTCCTCTCTCCTATATACCATCGCCCGTTCCAACATCTCCCATGCCCGATTCCGTCCCCCCGGCTTCGTCACCAACCCCCCCTCAGTCCAGATCCAGACCCTCCATTGCCTCCGCAACGAAGGTCTGGTCCGTTTGCAGTCCCGAAGATGCCCGTCCATCGGGCAGGGCCCCGCCGTCGTCCCCAGCTTCACTAGTGCTTCCCTCGCTCTCCGTCTCTGGAGGCGTTTGCAGACCCGTGACGCCGCGCGTCCCCATGTTCCGCTTCAGCATGCACATCTCCACTGAGATACCCGGCCCGAACGCACACCCCACCACGTAGTCGCGTACCCGGCCGTCCGGCGCAACGGCGTCCATGTCTTTGGACCGCAGCCGGTCCATGACGCTGAAGATTGTTGCCGAGCTCGAGTTTCCGTGGTTGATATAAGTGTCGTAGCTCGCTCGCATGTGGTACGACGAGATGCCCATTGTCTTTTCGGCTCCCGACAGAATCGTGGCCCCTCCAGGGTGCATAGCCCAGTCGAAGTCCTCGGGGCTTTGGTACGATGGCGGTAGCGAAGGGACGGAAGCGAGCATCTCTTTAAAAGTGGATGGAATGGCGGCCGATGCAAGCTTCGGTACTTGCGCCGAGAGAATCACCTTCCATCCTGCGTCGCTCATGTTAGCCAGTACGTCCAGGAGAGGCGAGCACGAGTGCCTTTTGACTTACCAACAGGGTCAACATCGAAGCCCAGATCATGATCTGTATCGGGAATGATCTTATGCTCCCAGCCCAGCAGATCATACACGGGTTCTGTAGGCTCGCCGACACCGTTGCTAAGCACCACCGCGCTGGCGCAATCGGAAAAGAGAGCGACGCCGATCCTCGTTTCCTGGAGCTCGTCGATGCTGTTCAGTTCGCTGCGCACCATGGTCGTGCTCACTTCGAGCGCGACGCAGAGGATCCTCGCTGGCTTGTTACGAGCTTTGTGTCCCAATGCCAGGTTCGCCGCAGTCCTCAGCGTCGCCAGGCCACCGCTGCAGCCGACCCCGTGCAGCAGCACCTTCTCGACCTGGTGTGTGATACCCAGACCCTTCACGACATAGTGGTCGAACCCGGGGTTGGCACTGTCGGTGCACGTTGTCGACACGACGTGTGTGATTTCGCTGAGGTCGATGCGGGCCTCCTCAATAGCCTTGCGTGAAGCCTCCACTGCTAACGGCACGCCGTCGCTCATGAAGACCTTGTGCAGCTCTGCAATCGAGGGCGCATCCTTGTTGTTGACGACGGGGTGTTCATGCGTGCCAATGGACGAGCGGTAGTCAATGCCAGTAAAACGGTTGATGGCCAGGACTTTTTTCATACTATGGCGCTCCCCGTCAGCGAATATGACAATTGCACCATACGGACGCAGCACACTTACGAAGGTGAGTCGGGGTAGAATTTGTTGCTCAGGTAGTCTATTGATTCCGTCTTCAACGAGTATGGCGGGTACTGGCTGCCGACGCCGATGATGGACAGACCGAGGTCTCCAAATGTGTTGGGAGCCGCCATCGTGAACGGTGAGAAGTGCGATGCGGGGGAGGGGTAGCTCGCTTTTAGGCTGGACGTGGCGCTTCTTGGAGATTTTGTCGACGAGTATGTGAATACAGAACGGTCAATGGCCAAGGTGATGAAGAAAAGAGCTCGTCGAAGCTCACGAGAAGCTGCGGGATGTATCTGGCAAAGAGGCAATGCTGGAGGCGAATCGCAATGGCTTGCGCACAAGGGCGGGAGCTGCTTGGCCTGGAGTGATGATATCACCTGCAACGACAGTACACGAATGGAGTACACCCGAGTAGGACAGCACAGCGGGACGGCGGGATGGATGGAGTTTGGGTGTGTGCTGACGGAAGAAACGATGGACAACCCGTGCAAGAGGCGAAAAGTCGGTCAGTTTAATCAGGCAAGCTCAGGTCGAGGAAATGGAAAAGACAGGTTGGGCTCATGCATGAGAAAAACATAATAGTGACGGTGGCATGGCATGGGGTGGTCGGTCGGTGGGTGGGATAAGGCGAGGGTGAGAGAGATGTGTAAGGACACCGCAAGCGCCGGCCTCTCTCGTTTTCACCGTCTCCTTTTTCTTGCACAAAGTTCTTCTCTGCTGCCCTGGGCTCAACAAATCCGCCGAGCCGCCAGGACGGTTTGGGAGCAACCAGTCTTGTTTGCTGTACCGTCTTCCGGCGATGGGCTCAGCTGCTTGCTAACGCCCCCCCCCCCCCCCCCCCCCCCCCCCTCCCTCCTCCTCCTTCCCAGGAGCCGGGGAGGAGAAACGCGTGCTTGCTCGTGGCGAACTGGGGTGCGTCGCCTCCAGGGACGGAGGTCTTGTTGCACCGTTTCGTTACGCATGTTTCCGCCCCGCGACTCTTTCTCCCCCCGACTCGGGGTGGTGGCTCCGCCTTTTGCCTCATCCTGGAATTTGAGCTTCAGCGCGCCGGGATGCTCTCCGTGGGACGAGGTGTACGATTCTACACATAAGCTGACAGTGTCCCCCACTAGTTGACCTTGGAGTACCGTGCACGCGTGGTGTATGTAGACATAACACGACAATGGGTCTAACATTCAGATATAGCCAACAAGAAAATCAAAATAAGTTTTCTTAACATCTAATCCTAACCAATCTTCATATTCTCACTGCTAAACCAATCCCTAATCTTATCCCAAATCCTAATAAACCTTTCAAAAGAGCTTTTTATTATTTTTGATTACAATTTTCCTAGAATTTAATAGGCCTAAGGTAATGAAGGATACGTCTTGGAAAGAGAAATATGGGTCTAACAGGGTCTGGACATGTATTTTGTAGAATATGGCAGTAGGATATTGGGAGCTTTATTTTCTGTCATGTTGTGTCTGCACGTATCACGCGTGCACGGTACTCCCACGTCAACTAGGGGGCTGTCAGGTTGTCTGATCACTCGAGCTGAAACATTGTCTGAATCCAACCTTCGAAGCCGACTCACGCGAGGTGGAGCTCTCGTTTGTCAAATGCCTCGGAGCCCTTATCGCGCAACATGAACCCCTGCCACTTTTTTTTTTTATTACTGGAAACTTGCCCCGGAAGCTCACCTGAAAATGGTGATGCAGCAGCGGCTGGGCTGTCTGTCGCGGCCAGTGAGTACGTGTATGGATGGCATGGGAACGGTCGAGAGGGTGTGAAGTATCCCTAGTGTAGATGGGATCGACCGCGGGTCTGTCAGGGACCAAGATGCGATTATTGGGATGCCATAATCTGACATGCGTGCGATAGTTGTATAAATAAATGTACACCGGCAGATACTTACTCGGTTGGGGGCTGGTTTCGAGGTTGATATGCTCAAGGGTGGTATTTTCCTCTTCGTCTCATGCCGTGTAGCAATGACCCTAAGGACGACAGGTCTCATCTGATCAACATTGGCCTTATCCGAAGTCATTTCGTCGTCTCTGTGCCTTGCTTCAGTCTGTGCTGATCGACCGCAACCCATTTGGGGGCCCAGACCTGGCCTGGACCGTATCCCACGGGGGCGGCCCGCGCTGACACTGTCATCTCCTTCTTTCAGCCATCGCGTTGAAATGGATAGTATCGGACAACATCCAGAAATTGGATTCGGCCAGCCAGACACCCATCTAAAAACAGATGTGCACCCACAACAAAAAGAAAGGGAAAAAAGGTGACGAGGCCGAGTTGGGAAGTCTCTTGTGGGCAACACTCGTCATGATTCATGGATCCACGGGCCACGGCCTGCGTTGGTCGTGCCATCTCCCAGCTCGCGTGCGCAGCTGGTGTGGCGGGTGGAGAGCTCACACTGACGAAAGCCAGACGTAACTGCCACCACCGTTTCAAGCTCTTACCTAATCTGCCAATGTTCCGACCCCGGTGCAACAATGACCGGAATTTCGGATGCCAAAAGGTTTGGGCTTTTGGTGTATGGTTCACACATGGCAAACGGCCCCTGAATTCCAACTTTGAGAGCCAGTCAGAAGCTCTCCAGTGGAGCTGACTAGGCTACTACTACCGGTACCTATCGCAGGTTGGTGTCGACAGGCCTTTGGGCCTGATTTGCTGGATCCTTTTGAATACTTCTGAGAAGACACTTTTCCCACACGACGGATCTTACATATAGGAGACGTAGAGAAACCTTGACAAAATAGACTTCATGTTGTTCCCCCGACCGCAGTACCTTCTGGTCGCTCGAACCACACTGGATTCATAGAGGACCCATCGAGGGCCGACTGTCTATCGCTCATCTTGACCCCTCCGTTCGGACACTTGAGTTGCTCCACAGGCCGACTGAGTGTCGCCGCGCCGTGTTTCCACCACGGAACTCGAGCTCCGGTTCCCCGGGAGGGACTACTGTATCCGACTTGTTGAGGGTGCGAAACACTTGTCAAAGAGGTAAGTACGGAGCCCGGTGTCGTAACGCGCCATTGCTACACGACCTAGATACTCACCGCATGTCGAGTCCCAGCATCTCGCCTGCGCATCTCGGCCCTCGCCGCCCTCCCCCTTCTTCCCCAAGATGCCGCTCCTCCTTGCCGCTAAGCTTCCCTTCCTCCTACACATCGCCATCGAGACGGCCGCCGCGTACTCCTTCATCCTCAAGCCCGCCAACCAGCTTCCATCCCCATCCCCCGCCGCTCAGCTGGTGCTGCAATCCTTTGGCGGGCTGCTGCTCAGCACGAACCTGACGTGTTTAATCTTGGTGGCGCGGCCGTTCGACGAGACGAGCAGGCTCGTGGCGGCGGCCTTGGCATTTTGGCATGTCTGGCCGTGCTGGCGTGCGTATGTGAGACTGACGAGGCCCGAGGTGGATGGGACGCGTACGCACAAGGGCGAGGTTGTCAGGAAGACGCTTGGCGGGCCGGCGGCTCATCTCGCGGTGCACGCCGGAATGTTTTTGTTGTTCGCCGGGGCTGCTCTTGTCTGATAGAGTTCCGCACCATCGGGGTTTTAATCGATGAGGGCCCGCGGCCTCCAGATGGATGTATGTATGTAATGCGAGTTGACTCCTTTTATCCTTCACAGCCCATGGTCTATATCATGGTGGATATCTTCATGAATGTACAGTTCTCTAAGTAAAAAACACTTTTCCCATTTTCCCTAGAGCCGTTCCTTTAGTTGCGGAACAGCCGCAGACCGGCCTCCTCTGCGTCAACCTCATCGTCGTCCTCCATCTCCGCGTCGGATGCCTGCTCGCTCAGCTCCATCTTCTGCCCAAACAGCGTGCCGAACAACCGGTCGATGGCGTCCTGCTCCCACGCCCTCCGGTCCTCGGGCGCCATAAAGTTCTGCAGCTTCTCGTGCACGTTGAACCGCATCTTGCGGCCCTTGCTCGCCCTCCGGTCGACGTGCTTCTTCGTCTTGGCCTCCTTCATCGCCGCCCACCGCACTGTGGGCTGCGCCGCCGTGCCGTTGCCGGCGTCGGACGTGCGCTGCTCGACAAGCTCCTTGAGCAGGAGCTGGTAAAAGTCGGCGTCGTCGTAGATCTCCGGGTCCTCGTTGACCTTGCGCGCCACCTGCGCGGGCGCGCAGGACCGCGGCGTGCGCGTACGCTTGATGAGGCGGTCGGCGCTGAGGAGCTGGTCCTCGAGGCTGGCAACGATCGACGTCTGCGTCGAGATGAGGTTGCGAGACTTGACCTCGACGTTGGCGCTGCGCGTCTTGGTGGACCATGTCTCGAGCACCTTCTTGCGGTACTTTGCCGCGCGCTGCTCGGCCTCCTGGATGCCCTCCCAGATGGCCTCGTTCGAAGTCGACGCGTCGTAGTCGCCGCGCTTGCGCTTCGCGCCGGCGGCTTGTTGCGCGAGCTCCGCGGGGAGCAGGCTGGCGCGGAAGCTGTCGAGGGTGTTGAGCAGCTTGAGAGCGGCCTCCTCGGCGGCCTCGTACGGCTCCGAGTTCTGCTCGTCTTCTTCCGAGGGGGACTCGACGGCGGAAAAGGAGTTTGTGGCGACGAGGGCCTTTTGGAGGCGGATGCGGATGTTGAGCAGCCCGTCAAAGGTCTTGCGCTGCTCGCGGACGGCGAGGCCCTTTTGCGCATCCTGCTGGGCGGCGGCGGAGATTGTGGCAGCGAGGACCTTTTGTCCCTCGCTCATGAGCTTGCGCTGCTCGGCTCTGGCGTCGGACTTGGAGGACTTGCGGCGGGGCTGGTCTTCGTCGGAGACGTCTGAATCTTCCTCGGAGTCTTCGTCGTCGTCGGAGCCCAGCTCCTTGTCGTCCTCGTCATCGTCCTCATCTTCGGAGCCCTCAAAACCGTCCATGTGATCCTCGTCGCTGCCGTCGGAGCCCTCATCCTCGTCTTCTTCTTCTTCTTCCTCCTCTTCGTCAGAGATAAAATCGGCAGCCTTGGGCCTTTGGCTGCGGCTGCCTTTCTTGTCCTTGGGCTGCGAGCTGCCGCGGAAAACAAAGCCATCGAGCTTCTCGTCGTCGCTGTCGCCAAGGGCGTCGTCGCTTGAGATTTCAAGGTCTTCTCCTCCGGCCGCAGCTTCGTCGGCGGCCAAGTCGGCGGTCTCGGGGTCGTCGAACTCTTCGCCGCTCGAGTCAATGTCCTCCTGTGCATCCTCGAACACGTCGCTGTCGTCCTCGTTGCTCGAATCGTTCAGCGCATCGCGGCTGACGCGAGCGCCGCGGTACTGGGGCCCGAGGGAAACGCCCTCCTTTTCGCGGAGCTTGCTCTTGCTGCAATGCTTGTTAGCCTCCCACAAGAAAATTCCAGCGTATGGTGTGGATCGTACCCGACGGTAACATAGTGCTCGGTGCCCGCGTTCTCGTCGACGCTCTCTTCACTGCCGCTTTCGTTCTCGCTCTCCTCGACAGGTTCGGCCTCAGGATCGAGATCTGTAGGATAATGTAAGCCTGTGTTAGAGTGCAGTCTCGTAAAATCTGTCGCATACCCTTTGGTGCCTTTTCTTCCCAATCGGAAGCTCTTCTACGGGTGGCCATTTTGCTGGTCTCGCGCGGTTTGTATGGCAACTGAATGGGGAACCCGCTAGGCGAAATTTCTGGGCTTCAAGAAACTTTTTGGTGGTGTCGTGCGGCAGAACCAGGAACCCCACCAATGGCATTCATTATGTAAGCTTGGCTCGGAGTTCTCAGGCATGGCCGCTGGATCTACATGAGAGTGCAGAGAAGGAAGCCTGCCAGGGCGCTAACCAACTACTGTACTGAACAACGTATCATCAGTTGGTAAATCTATCTTGGAGATACGCGAGCTTTCAAACAGCGAGCGGTATGAAACCATCGTAGAGGTTAGAAGCCCCGTTTTACGTTGGTAAAGGTTCGGTTGACCTGCTCACGACATTGAAAGAAACTCCAGCAAACATTCAGCTTCGATGCACCAGGGTCAGATTCCATTTCAAAGTTTGCATGCCAACAGCCATATCCCGACTTCACTTTAATGTCAGAATGGGCAGCCGTTTGCACCCATCTGCACCCTCCAATATCGTCTTTACAAGCAATGGCAAGTGCCCGTCTTGTCAGTAGGCTCTACAGCCAATCAACCCACGATCGCATCAGTCCAAGTGGGTGCTGGACTAGACCGGGTGACGGATCCCCCACCGATCACGTGACATCATGCGGGATGCGCTTCCCGCGGAAGATCCCCCGTCCCAGACAAAGTGAGGCTAAGGGGATGAGGTACCTTGGCTGGTGCCCCCGGCAAAGGCAGGAAAAGAAAATCGCCCATTACTCGCCTGCTTCCACATCATCCGGCAGCGACTGTCGCTCACGAAGAGAGCCCCCAAACAAAAGCCACCAGACCAAAAAGCAAGAGGTCCTGCCGGGGGGCCTCGTAATGCGCAATGGAGCAGATTGAGACGCAAGTTAGCGACTTGCGCTACTTGACCGAAGCAGCCGTCCCTCTACCGCCCGACCGCGCTCACACTTCCGCTGCTTATTCTCCACACAATCACTCTGCCCATTCCCCCCTTTCCGCCACACCCGGAGACAATTCCGCACACCAACCAGGGCCCTCGAGAGGCCTAACTGCAGTCGGCACGCCAGGTTCGAGCTCTGTATCAGGTTCTAAGAGGAAGTCGGAGGATGAGAGTAATGCTGCCAAGCAGCAGAGAAGCAAGAGGAACCGGGTGCGTTGTCTATGCCATCAGCCTACCCCTACATCTATCTTCCCTCAAAGACCCAGCCAGCTATGGCCATTTCTCCGTGCATTACAGTCCTGTTCCCGACCTATGCCATGTTCCGCCTGACCCAAACCTTGTGGAACACTAGAAAGCTAATTGCTGCTGCTGTCCCAGTACATATCCATTGCCTGGTAAGAACAGCGTCCTCTCTGTCATGTCTAGCTAGCGTGCAGCGTGGCCAAAGAGCTCCCCGTGTGCACATGCCAACTTGATGCCGCTGCAACTCTACAGCAGTGCTATCTGGGCATCTGCCAGATATCTCACTCGAACCTTTGCCTCTTACAATACCTCTTTTGACCGTATAATATACCAGTCCGAGATCACTAACCCGCCTTCCCTACAATAGCAACGAATGCAAAAGACGCAAGATCAAGTGCAATGGCGAGACTCCCTGTCAACGATGCGGAAACCTCAACTTGGCGTGCCTCTACGCCCCCAACTGCTGCTCCAATAATTTCAAGGACTCGGACGAATACAAAACCATGACAGCGCAGATGGCCCGCCTACAAGAACAGGTTGATACCCTCTACCAGAACATGAACGCCCTCCGCTCCGAAACCCTGCGTCTGGCCCCCATCCAGGACAAAGTATTGCCTCTCCCCTCGAGCACAGTTCAGGCCTCCCCGGCAAGCTCGCTGTCTCCCCTCCACCGGCCTGAGTTGACCCAACTCAAGCAGGCATCCTTCCGCGGCCCTACGAGCATGGCCTTCAGTCTTGACGTCGCAAACACCACCATCCACAACATGGGCTACAAGGGCATAGGGGATGGCGACGGTCAGAGCACGCCGCTTGGGGTACCCGAGGAGAGTCCTTTCCGCATGGCTCCCCAAGAGAGCCAAGTCGACCCATTGTGGGACTTTGGCAAGGATGAGATGATTCGCTTGTGTCGGTTGCATGAGGAAGAAGTCGGCATCATGTATCCTGTCATCAAGATACAGTCTGTCATCGAGCATGTCCGCCACCTGACGGCTTTTATGGACTCGGCCAGGAAGCAGGGCCTTACACCCAGTCTCAATGATGAGAAGACGCTCCAGCTCAAGATTGTCATGAGCTGTGCTCTGGTTGTAGAAGAGCACGGACACAGCGAAAAGGCATGCAAGCTGATTGACAGCATGGAGGCTGTACTCAACCGCAAGCTTATGGTCGAGGCAGTTGACTTTGTAAGCCTTCCGGCGTTGGCCCTTCTTGCTGGGTACAGATTCTTGGCCAGCGAAGAGATCCTCGCGTGGAGAGTCATGGGCCAGGTTACCAGGTTATGCCTGGAGATGGGCATCCACCGAACAACTGGCATCGCCAAGATTCGAAATGAAGAGGACAGAAAGAACGCTCTGAATAGTTTCTGGTCAGCCTACGTTTTGGATCGGAGGTGGGCTTTTAACACAGGCCTCCCGTTCGTGGTTTCAGATGAGGAGATTGACCCAGAGCTACCCATGCCCGTAAGCAGTCTTTTCTTATGTTTAAATAAAGACAATGCCTTACTTACTCATGAACAGGAAGAGTATCCGTATCTTGTCGCCATGATCACCTACTCAAGGTTGGGAGCCAAGGTCTGGCGCCAGGTTGCTCACTTCGGGCCTGTTCTGGCCCGCGAGCTTCGACACGAGGACATGGAGCAGCTAGATAAGGAGATTCTGCAGTGGTATGAGAACGTCCCTGAAGAGGTCAAGCTTCGTAACTGGGACAAGGAGAAGCAAATGACGTCGACTCCGTCGTATAACCTGCAGCGACTGCGTATCTGGACATATCTTCGTTTCAACCAGGTTTGTTGCTATTGATCGGCGAGCACGAGGTTGGTCCGAGACTGACATACTGCAGATCCGCATTTGGCTATACACACCGATCCTTCACAGTGCCACCAGCATCATGAGCCATTTTGTTCAGGCTCAACGTGTTGTCGACCTCGCAAAAGATACCATTCGTTATCTTAGCCACCTCAACAATACCACGAACCTTTACCGCAAGATCCAGGTTTTCTACCATCAATTTCTCACGTCGGCGATATCTGTCCTATTCTTGGCTTCAGTTCATGCGCCAGTGAGGTTCAGCCCTACTTGCCGCGAGGAGTTTTACATGGGTCTGGAGCTTGTCAAAGATCTTTCGGCCAAAAGCTGGGTGTCGCAACGGCTGTGGCGCACAATCAGTTCGCTCAAGGAGGTCGCGCCAAGCATCGGTTTGCGCAACCAGCCGGACGAGGATGCCCACAGCTCGGCGGCCCTGACTATGGCCGGCTTGGCTAGCGGACGCATGTCGACCAGTCCAGCTACAATTGCTCCTTTTGGTCGTTCTTCTGTCTCTACGACGCCCACGATACCTCAACAACAAACGCCCAATTTGGAGACGGCGCAATCACCGAACAACGGAGTTCGCATTCAAAACGAAATGAGCCGCATTTTCGAGGGCTACATGGGGCTTAACGGCTTTGCATCCGGGGGCGACGATGGCTTTGGGGGACAGCAGCCGGGCGCCAACTTGCCCTCGGCAACGACTGGTGTTTCGAACCCCTACGTTGACAACGTCTTCTTCCACTTTAGGGAGATGTTTTAGTGTTCACGTGTCCACGCCAGCCACTGTGTGTAAGTGGCGAGAGCCAAGTGCTTGAGCAGACATTCACGCTATACATTTGCGTTTGTGTTTTAAATATCAGCTTAATAATGTATGCCACTACCGATCATCGGCCAGTCCATATTCTCCTACAAGCCAAACCACTTCAGATCCTGGTCTCTCTGGACGGGTACAGTATGCCCAACTCCCTGTGCAGAGACTCCGACAAGCTTGGTACCATCGCCGTAGACCATCTGCGTGTAGCCGTTGATGGGTGTGTTGGTGGTGTTCCTAGTGAAGCTGACACCATGAATGGTCGACCACTCCTTGAGCTGCTCGGCCAGGTTGGGATAGTTGACGAACGTGTCCGCCGTGCCATGGTACGTCTGGATCCGCGGGTAACTCCCAGCGTAGTTCGGATACATAGCACGCACCTGCGCAGCCCACTGCGCACCCGTCTTCACGACTTGTCCGTTGGCGCATTTCGGATCGGCGCTGATGGGGCTCGAGCCCGGTGATCCGGCCAGACACCCCGCTGCCACACCCGAGTAACACGTAGCCGCGGCGAACATGTCCGGGTACGTGGCGGAAAGCACATTGGTCATCATGCAGCCCGAAGAGCTTCCCGTCACGAAGACGCGCTTCGGGTCGGCGCCGTAGCGGGTAATTGCGTACCGGACCATGTTGGCCAGGCCCGTGGAGTCGCCGCCGCCGTCACGCTTGAGAGTAGCGGTGCTGGCGACGTCCCAGCAATTGAAGTCCTTGGTGGAAGACGGGTAGATGACAAGGAAGGTGCGCTTCTGGTCGGAAAGCGAGATGTAGTCGGCCTGGCTGGCGTAGCCTTGCCCGGAGCCGCCGCAGGGGTGGAGGGCGAGGATAATGGCGGGGGAGGCGGCCAAGTTGGAAGGAACGGATATGTCCATGGTCAGACCGGTTGGGTTGGAGCCGAAGTTGGTGACGCGCTGAAGGGCTGCTTCGGTTTGGGCCAGCAGGGGGAGGGCGGCGAGGAGGAGGTTGGGGAGATGCATCTTGGGCTTCGGAGTGACAACGTCTGGAATCGATATTGTTGTTGATGCCGTAGAAAGGTGCTGTCTTGAGCTCTTCGCTGAAACCCACGATCATAAAGCACCCTTTATAGATAAAAGTCCCATCAGTGAAGGCTAGTTGAAAGGAGTCAAAAGGAGCCTTGACGCCCGTTTTCCCCAGCCTATATGCATGGTCTCGGCTCCAGAATTTGGCAAAAGAGTTTGCAAGCATATCACCAGTCCTCGTGCTCTGGCAGTACCGTCATTCCTTGAGAAGTGCGCAGCTCCGAGAGCCTCGTATGTAACAAGGGGGGAACATGTCAACTGTTTGGGTTGCATATGAAGCAGCGGCTATATAAGGCGAAGATTGCGTTTGCCAGGTTAGGCAGTTTTGCGGACTATCTTGCCCCCTGGGTGTGAACAAGGCCAGAGCTTCGGCAAGGGACTCGGTAGTTGGAGATTGTTATATGATCTTGGCTATGTGTAAAATAAATTGGGAGAGTTGGGGAGTTGCAGTCTATTGGTGGCCAATCTAGGCGGACCCAGAAATAGAAGGTGTTGCCTTTCTATGATTTGGGGAACCAGCTCCGTGTCCAACCTAACCAAGTGACTTTGTTCCTTGGCTGTGACCCCGGGCGAGCAGGGGGTGGGTGCCTTGGTGCGCCGTTGAACCGGTGTCGCATCCCGGGCCATAGATGTAACGGATTGACAGAAAGGAGAGGGAAAGGGGAGAAGAAAGGCCACAAGTCGTACGGCCCCCCTCCGGATGTGGGCCGAGGCCATCATTTGGTCAATCCTACTCAGAGCTCGGGGTGCCGGTCTGGAGTGGAGCCGGAGGCTCGGAACGAAAGGGCTTTTGCGCAACCAGATCTCTGGAGTTGATCAAGAGGCCGGAAGTCGAAGAATCGGCCAATACACAGAATGCCGTTTAAACCTGGCCGTTGTTTGGTTGACGTTGCGGAACTCACTTGCCTAAGCCCGATCTTTTTATCGGCGGCAAGAGTCTGACCGGATGACTCAAAGTCACCGTATTGAGCCACGCAACTCATGGAAACGGATACCGGATGACAGTCGAATCACTAGCCTGAGACAGCACGGCCTGTACAGTACAGTCTGTACTGTTACGGCTGATGGAGAAACTAAAAAAGAATTTATAACTGTGGTTCCCGAGCGACACGCTGAGAACAACATCGCTCAGCCACGTATCAACCTAATCCCTTTCAATAGATCTTACGGCATCCCCATAATTCGCACTGGGCCGCAGAACAGACAGCATTGTTTGTTTTCCATTAACAAGCAAAAGGAGAACAATCGCCATCAATAAGCCCGATATTTTGACTTCAGGTCCCCATGGAATTGTTTTCCTCCCAGTGTCTACAGACGGGACCAAAACGGCAATGTCCTTTGCAAGACTTGCCATTCGAAATCTACTGCTTGATTGCCTCCTGTCTCGATTACCCCAGCATCCTGAAGATGTGCTCCACAAACCGCTACTTCCGCGAAAACCTCAGCCCAAGGACGTTGATACCGAAAGGCCCGCTACACACATATCTCCACAAACTCGATGATGACTACAAGCTACGGAGCCATTTCGTTTGCTTCGAATGTATCCGTGTTCGACCTCGAGAATGCTTTGGGGACAAGATGAGAAACCAACGGGCGCCTTGGAGATACCCGACGTTGAGGCGCCGCTACTGGGACTGCGCCGTGCGAAGCAGGTGGTATCATCACCTGCAGCCTACAAAGATGGAAGGCGTCGTTTACTATCTTTGCTGGCGGTGTGGCAATGTGTGGAGTGAGGCTGATGCTCAACGCTGCCGAAAGGTGGAGGTTCGTATCCAAATCAACGGCGCCGACATTGGCCGGAAGTGCTGGGCCACGGTATGTTACGATCCAAAACGTGTTCCGGAGTGTCAGACTAGCGGATAGCGACATTATATCAGAGACTTCAGGGGCTTGAAAACCGTCCTACCTGGTTTTATTTGAGTGTGGGAATAGTGTTAAGGGTGTTTATCGATCTGTCGGAACGAAAGCCGCATAGAAATCTGAAGGAACTTGAGGACCGTAAACATTCCAAGCAACGGTCAAGTTTGGATATTCCAGGGTACGCTTATGTCTTCCTGAATAGTAACTGGTTTATTATCAGGTTTATTGCTCAACCGGTAGCCAGATAGGCCTAGTAAGTATGATGAAAGAGTGCGTTCATCGCTTCGCCCTGATCAATGCGAGATTACCATGGCCAATCAGTTTTGGTGGCGAATTCCTCGTCAAAGTACATAACCATAGACATGAAACAGCATGTCCAAAACATAAATCGAAGCCTAAGTAGTGAAGACAGCCGTAGCCGGAAAGTGAGGATGCGGCGGAGAGGATTCAACATAACAATGCGGCAGACTGGGGCGCTTACTGAGACTGGTGGGGTTCAATCAATTCACCACCACGCACTTTGTTCGGAAAAAGGGAAATGAGGTTCAAACAAGCTTTCTTATAAACCTTTTTAAAACTCAATCCCCACAACATCAATTCTAGCTGCTTTGGAAACCCGGCGGATCTGCACGTCTGACGGGGGCATAGACATTGCTACGTTACCCTCTCGAGGTTGACAGCGGGGCAAAATTGGTCCCCGGAATGTGGGAGACGCTGCGTCATTGGATCGACGGAAGTCCGCCGATGGGGAGCGTCTGGCGTTGAAAGAGACCGTTTTATCTCCAGACAAAATGCCAATAGTTGGTCCAGTTGGTCTGAGTTTTATTATTCTGGAGCTTCACGAAGTTTGTTGCAAGACGAACGTTTCAACGTGCTGTCAATTACACAGTCTCGTTGGCCACTTCGAGAGCTTTGCCAGTGACCGAGTTCTGAGCATAGCCAGACTTGTACTCCTTGTCCTCATAAGGCTTGGCCCCCATGTTTGTCCAGGCGCGCTCGATCATCAGAGTGACCTCTTTCTCCTTCGCGTGGAACAGCAACTCGGTGCCCCCTATCCCAAAAGCCGTGATGGATTTGTGCTGTATCGGTGTCAGACGCTTGAAATCTAGTCCAGTACGTAAAAACTCACCAAACCTAGTGTCAACTTGATAACACCATCCGCCCAGTAATGTTGGTAGATATTTGTCGGTTTCTTGCCCTGAAGAGCCAAGACCAGATTATCCGCAGCATAAATGGCCTGCTTCATGGCAGCTCGGGCATTGGGGTTAGTGACACCGGCTTCGGCAACATCGCCGCAGACGTAGATGTTAGGAAGCGAGTCGGCATCAATTTGCATCGTCGGCTTGACCTTGATCCGGCCTGTTTTGGCGATTGCCTCGGGGACGAACTCGCTGATAAGCTGAGAGGAAGGTTGCTGGCCGATTGCATTGACCTGATTAGAGTATAAGCGGCCGAGTGAAAAGGGAGTACTGTGTGTAAAACCTGAGACTTACCAAAAAGTCACATTCCACCCTGCGGCCAGAACGAAGGGTAACGAAGCCATCCACAGGAGAGTCGGTAGTCGTCCGTTCTCCCAGAATCACTTCAATACCAAGGTCCGTCAACCCCTTGAGGGCTCCGGCCTGCAGATCTTTGCCAAATCGATTCATGACTGCATCCCTGGAATGGACTAATGTCACATTCTTCTCGGGATACTGATCTTTGGCATCCGTGGCAAGTTCAACACCCGCAGCACCTCCTCCGACCACAACCAGGTTCTTGGCGGCCTTAATACGCTGCTGGAAGCTTTGCAGCAACTGAACTCCCTCTGCCTTGTCTGTTGAGCCTACTCGCGATGGCAATGACATGCCAACACCGGATCCCGTTGCAATAACCATATAAGAGTACGGAATCTCTTCGCCAGTGCCTTGAATAGTTACTGTTTTCTCCGTAATAGTCGAAACACGGTCATGAACCCATCGCACGATGGACTCGGAGCCCGCCGGCAGATAGGGGCCATACGGGATGAATGTCTTGTGCTCGTGTCCCTCAACGACACAAAAGCGAGGCAAGGTCCATGTGAATTGCCAGTGACGGTTTGGTTCGACGATAATCAGGCGGTATGGCCCGTCTGCTGGAAGTGAAGTTGCAATTACTCGGGCGGCATGGTAACCAGCGAAGGAAGCCCCAATGACAACAATGTTAATCGGCTCGGCATCCTTCGCTGCAGGACCAGTGGTAATTTTTTTTGTCGTGTACGACCGCGAGAAGAAGTCCGCATAAAGTCGCAGTGTGTATCCCACAAGTCTCACAAAGAGGACCACTTTGTGCAACTTCTTGAGCATGGTAGCTGATGGCCGGAACCCGCGGGTTTTCTGGGGGCGAAATTGACGGAGAACTTTCGTCACACAAGGGAGAAAGGGAGGTTAGGGGAAGGGTGTGGCCTTGACAGGATCAGATTAGACGGACATCGCCAATACTTATCAGATGCATCTGATTAGATCAAAAGGGGGAAACGTCCGTTAGCGTGCGCCCTGTCGGTGGACGAATCGGCTTCGAATTCACCGACGGGGCTTCGGCCGACGCGATCCCTGCATCAGCAAATTCTGGCATGACTGAGTCGACAAGTGGATAGATTGGGATGAGACAGCTATTCGGTCTTTTCGCGCCGGCCTCGGCATCGTCCTAATGTGGTATGTAAATCATTGTACAGGGTTTCGTTCGTATCGTAAAAGTACGATTTCTGCGTCAAGACCCAAGAGTATCGTACTGCGCTCTTTAGAAACCTCTCATCCTCTGATCATGCACGGGATACCGGCTTTTCCTGCCGGTGTTAATGTAGCACCGACCGACCGACCGACCGATACGAAATCCTGCGGAGGAGTGGACGGAACCAAGCAACATGTCGTTGGGTGTAAAGCACAGAGCTAGGTTCTGGTACGATGGCCAGTTCTCGTTACGTACAGGGGTCACCTAAGCTGAAAAGACCTTCGCTTGTTAGGTTGTCGACAACATTAGTTTGACGTACCTGTACATAATTTCCCTAGTGTCAAGTGGTTGTGCGATTAACACATAGCCAGAAACGAACATGAATGACACAGCAACGATTTTTTTTGGTGTATTAACGGCAACCGACGGATCCGTTAACCGAATGACTTGGCATCTCCAACATCCTGGTTCCTGGCATGGAGTTTAATTGTCTCGCCGAGCACCGACCTAGGACAATCTCAGCACGAGTCAGGTTCTCAGTGATTCGGAGAAGACCCTTAGTGACAAAGCTTGCATGTAGATACGACATCCCAAATACTGATGCTGGGCTTTTCCAGCTACGATAAGTATTGGAAAGTTGATTAATTTATTTCAATTAGGGAATCGTCCGAGGCATCAAGTATCGTTGCCCACACCAAAACGCCGTCATTCATATGTACCTCCAGTCCCTTAGACTTGCACCTCCTGAACCTGGACCTCGACGGCCATAACGCCACTGCCAGCCTTCTTCTCGGCCGGCACGACATCTACGGCGGGAGTGACCGCAACTCTCTTGACCTCGCTGAAAGGGGGGTATCCCGCAGCGCGCCATTCCTGAAAAGTAATCCCCCCGGCACAAGCAGGCATCTTGACCATGAGGGGCACCTCGATGTCGTCGGGTGTGCCCATCAGCTCCGCCTTGTGAACAATCTTCTCGTCCAGGGTCTCGTAACCCATCTTCTCGTACAGTTTGTAGGTCGAGGGAGATGACTCGAAGTACAGGGGTATTCCCAGGCTGTCGCTGAGTTCCATTCCCCACTTACACCAAAGGGCGCCTGCCTTTCTACCTTGATGTTTCGGGTCGACGGCAATAACGTGGGTATCTGGAACAAACCGGATCAGTATTCACCGCAAGCGAGTTCTTTGGAGCCTTGGTTAGCTTACAGATGTATCGCCGTCCGCCAAAGAGCTTCTCTCTGACGTCGTGAAGGGGATTGAGAACAGCTTCGGCGCGCTCTCTCGCCGCCCCCTCGAGCCAGCCCACTCCATGGTTCTTGCGCTCTTCTTCGCTGCGCTCTTTGAGGTAGATGTCGCCCAAAGCCATGCCGACAATCTCCCCTGTCTCGGTATCGACGCACTTGTAAGTGTACTGGCAGTCGCTGTGGTGCCACCACGACAGGGTGCCAGCGGTATGTGCCTTACGGAACTCTTCAGAGTCTACCCCGTTTGGAAACAGGATCTTGACCATGATGTCTCCCATGGCGTCACCATTGAAGGCTTTGAAGTAGGAATCATACACCTTTTCGATGTCCGGGATCAGCGCCGGCAAGATTGCGTAGCCCATCTTGACGGAAGAAGAAGAAAAAGTAGATTAAAGAGGTCGGTAAAAAGGACTAAATCAGAAGATGTGGTGAGCTACGAGGTGGAGGAGCACAAGGCAATGTTGTCTTTGGAGACTCAAATATAGTTTTATGTTCCTTACCGAGGAGACCACAGTTTATATACGGCTGCTTGCCTTGCGGAACTCTCTGCAAGGAGTTCAGAATACCCGCCAGGACTGCATGATCTGGGGTCATCGAATTGCTCGATCTGGTCTAGGCAACGCTTTCGCCGGACATAAGATGTCTCTCCACCACTCAGGATGGACTGTACGAGAAGGCTCTCTCTCATCACGCTGTTAAGGGTAAAGTACACCTCCCTACTAGGTAACAGGTAGATACATAGATACATGCCACCACTCTAAACGAGGGGTGTGGCCCTTAGTGGTTGGAACGTATTTGGGCTCACTGGGATCTCAAAGCACTGCTACCGCGGTGAACGTGAACAACTAAAGCTATACAGACCTTTCCGGGCGCTGTCCTCGCCTGGTACCACAGTAGTTGCTGATGCGGCCATGGTAGTAGTGACCAGCTGGTCTACAAGACCTGTTGATGAAGTTCCGTTCGAATGATCTTCTCGGCGCCCATCCTTGACCCTGTTCAGGCCCGTTTAAAGTTATCAGATCCGCATTTCTAGCACCCCGAGTCTTTTCGCATCCTCGTGTTCGCCCCGCTTCGTTACATCCTGGCCCTGGTCGACTTGACTACTGTAGGGTCAAAATGTGAAGGTTGCGACCTTGCTGTTAACAGGAGTCAATCTCCATCCTCCAAGCCGCCCAAGTGATCGGGACAACCGTCCGGCGAGAACGAGCTAGCAAAAGTCCATCTGGCCCCTGCTCAGCGCGTTCTTTGCATGCTTGTGCGACCCAGCACCAACCAATAGTCAGAGGGTGGCTCTTGATGGCGACCAACAGCTGGGTCTTGGGTTTGTTCTGCAAACTGCAGCAACCTACATCTCTCCACGCTAAGCAACAATTCAGGCGTCGGAGACATCGAAGCGCTCTGGGTTATCCAGAGTGCTTCAAAAAGGTCAGATAGAAAAGTAAATCACGCTTCACCTCTAATCAGTTCAATGGCGTGGTCACAACGTCGCCCCAACGGACTAGGCGTTGACGCTAACACTTACATCTTCAGCTGCGGTGCCAAGTTTGCTTATCAGATCCGCTCCGCTTCCATCAGCTGTTATCTGATCCATCCCGCCCAATCGGTCCCTCGGAATCGTGGCGTCTAACCAAGTTTCCCTACCGGAGCACCAGTTGAGTTGGGACTAGCGGCACAATCAACCGACAAGGGTTTTTTGGCCCCGAGGTTGCATTTGCTCTAAGCGACGGCCCAGATGAGGGGATAAAAAAGTTCATTGCATCTTGGGAAATGACTTGGCGCCTTCCGTTTAGGAAAGAGACCAAACTTCTTCACACGGGGGAGTGCGGTCGTCTTGTTGTGGCAAGGGTACCCAGGGAACACCCATGATGGGCGTGGTTTGATTTTGCACCGGGTCCCACGCAGAAATATGACTTTGTTCTCGGTAAGCAGTATAGTTGGCGTTTCGTGGGGCCATGCTCATAACACCATCGTTGGCCAGAACCTACTTAATTCGTAGCTGAGCAATGGGGCCATGAAGCCATTTGTTTTGACAAGGGCTCAGATGGCTGTGTCCGGGAATCTAGGCCTGATAATCGGTGCGCCACAGATCTTGGCCAGCACCTTTGAGCTGCCAGCCCTATTCGAGCACAGTGGGGATCAACTGGCCAACGGTGCGCTCCGTAAGACTCACAATAGGATGCAGAGGATATTCCCTTACACAGCCCACCTCATAGTGAACAATCTTTCTGCGGATGGAGCGGCTCCCTACTGTTCTCAAGTCTTCTCTCATGCATTTTTACTGATTAGGGAACCTAGTTGATGGACGTAGATGATGGCCGTTACAGAGTTTGACTTTCCATTTGTAAAGCCTTTTGGCCTAGAGTGATTTCTTGTGTAACTCTTCAAGAATACGAGACTGCATCGCTCCTGCGTTGTCTCTACACAGCAAATGAAAGTCAACACCAACTGTTTCAGGTGGGCTGCGACTTCCTCTTCTACCATAGTCAAGTTCAAAGAAGAGGAGTAAGGGGTTCACATTGATACCAACCATCACATGCTCTATAAGCCTGCCTTAGTACTTGTTGTTAATGCAATGAAGACGTCAAGTGATTGAAAGGCAGTTCCCGACTCCAGGGTATGCACTAGCGACCTTCTAACGCTGTTCAAGCAGGGTCCCAATTCATCTAGTTAGCGTATGTGAACTTGAGATGATCTCTTTGCCCCTAGATCTCACACACATAAAATACACCCAGCTATGTATGTATGTACCTTTAATGGCTCACTTCATACATAGTACAGACTCGCCCGTGAAACTCGAGATGCTCCTCCTCCTGGGTTAGCCAGCAGAAACATTGCCCTAGCGTCACAAAAGAAATGCAAAAGGATGGACGATCAGGGAATCGAACCCTGGACCTACCGCATGCTAAGCGGTCATTATACCACTAAACCAATCGCCCATGGTATGATCTAGCCCGGACTTGAACCGGAGACCTTCAGTGTTCTCAGACATCCGGGGGGTGAGCTCGGAAGCTGTTAGACTGACGTGATAACCAACTACACCACCAGACCAGGTTGAATTGTTGAGAACTTGTGAAGGATGAGTTGATTATACAGACAGTGCTCGAATTGAGCATGGGAACCGAGGGTTTGGTTTGCAGAGTTTGCTAGTTGTGGTAGTGGGCTTAGTGCTGGCCAATGAAATGCATACGCTAGAGTCGTTTAAATGAAGTCCCGCGCGGCCAACGCCGTTGCGGGTCTAGACATTCCTTGCCGGTTTCCGCCAAACATCGGAAGTGGTCCGGGACGCTGGCTACTAGTTTTTGGTATGTTAGTCGGTAGAAGTTGTGTATGGTCGACGGCCACATTAGGAGCTAGGTTTATGGTGGTAATAGTATACGCGTGTAATCCGCTTCTTTCCTCAATCTAGACTATGCACATTGACTCTCTCGTTTATGTTAGATATCCTGAGATCATGGTTCACCGCATAAAAGTGTTGCCTAAATGTTCGCTTACCCACGGAAGGCTAGGTCCTTCAAGGGTGTCCATCGATATGCGTGTATACACGGATGCCCTTGTTTAGGTCTTTTTTCTTTTTTCTTCGACACTTAGTATCATCAAATACCATAGCCTCAACAATTGTCCCCGTGATCGACGACCAACATACTCTGCCAACCCTCACGCGGCCAGGCCAAGTCATGATCATGGAAAGCGAGTAAGTCAACGCACCCACTTTTCGCCCACCCACCTTTTTCGCCCACCCAAAAACGAGGCTATCGCAATACAACCACCTATTTCAATTGACTATTGACGAGGGCCAGATGCAACTATGATACAGCTTTCTGCTTCACTAGGGCAATCAGATGCGCTGGATTCATCTGTATCAGCCTCAACTTCGCCAGCGTCAATCTGGGCTTGCCGGATATTGCTGATGTTGGCGAACTTAGTATTAGGGTCGATTTTAATAGCCTTCCTCTTCCTTGCTGTAGTGTTGTTGACTTGGGTCTGAAGACGCTGTATCTGGTGCTGGGCAGTAGCTAGCTGGAAGGACTGCTCTTGGAAGCCTTTTTTGACCTTTTTGAAGAGCTGGCGTTATGTGGTAATACTTTGATCCAGCCTACTGAATAAGTCTAGTTAACTATTAAGGTCTTTTATCTTCCTAGGCATAGACCATGTAACAGCAGATGAAGTAGATGCTTATCCCTTTATATCCTAGGTATCCTAGATACCCTGGGCACCTTGGGCAGCCTTATTAAGTGGTGTTGCTGGTGCTGTTACCTTGGGCAGCAGTAAGGAGCTTATAAGAGGTTTATCTATAGTAATAGGCTATAGTCTAGTATATTTCTAGCTACTTAAAATATTTTTTTTTATTAGCTTAGCTAAGCATACCCTCTAATAGCAAAATAAAAAGTGCCTTTTGCTTATAATAGTTGAATTATTTTATTAAGTAACATTAAGAAGCTTATTGCAATAGGCTGCTTTGACTAGGCTGAAGACTGACTGATCTAGTGGCTGGAGGACATAGGAGGTGTGTAGCAGTAAGAATAACAGATGGACGTTATTGGTATAGCACTCCCATATGAATTCTGTCGTTATATGGCTCCCATACCTATCCAGGACCAGCAGTCTAGCCTAATCAGACTAAGAGAAGGTAGTCTGTAACAAGAAGACCTTTAGTAACCACTTAACAGTAGTCTTATTAGTTGTCTATCTATTCTTTATTGCTATAAACTCCTATCTATCATAAGGGCCAAGATCTAAAAGAAACCACTACTGCTGGACTGTCTTGCCCTTATATATCATAAAAGGATGTAATGCCAGGCCCTCAGCTAAGATATACTTAATAATAGATACCCAGGCTTACAATCCAGGCTATTTTTTCTATATAAACTTAGTCTTTGCCCTGCCTAGCACTAGCCTATTTACTTCTTAACCTTTAAGGATACCTATCTTATTTATGTTATATCTATTGGCTAGTTAGATAGCTACTATTACTAGGATTACAAGATATCTGAACCAGTTCCTAATAACCTCAGTAGATACCCTATTAACGCATCTAGAATTAATAGATTGACTTCTTTAGACCTTAATAGATAGGTTTCTTCGTACAAAAGACTCTATCTATCTCTTTCCTAGAGGCTAAGTATCTCCTATAGCATTTAGGATACACTAAGCAAATTCCTTGACTTGTTAATATATTGGCGCAAGCCTAAGGTCAGCCTGGATTTATACCCAGCTAGCCAGCTTAGCTTCCTGACTAACAAAGAGCCTCTGGAGGTCAGCAAAGGCTGCTGCCCTAGGTTAGGTGCCTTTGAGCCGGCTTCGAAGTGTTAATCGTGGTACACCCCATTTCAAGGATGCCTCGCGGGTAGACTAGCCGTTGCTTATATCAGCTAATGCCTTATTAACCTCAGCTTCAGTGTATTGAACCATTAGGCCATCAAGAAGATATAGAGGAAAAAAGAAGTGATTTAGATAAGGGTTAAAGATATTGTGGGAGTTGGAAGTGGGAGGTTGGTGATGGGGATGAGGGATTTTTGGGTGGGCGAAAAAGGTGGGTGGGCGAAAAGTGGGTGCGTTGACTTATTCAGACAATCCAACATCTGGTGTCCTTGGTACTGTAAAGATTCAGCCGGCACAAAAAGGACCATCTTCATGTATGTGCATAATCAAGCAAATCGCAGGGATGCCGTCAATGAAATCGAGAAGAAGCCCGATACTGACCACTGCAACTCGGTTGGTGCCAACGCTATGGTCTCCTACATCTGCTCTCTGCCGCTGAGCTTAAGCTTGTCGCCTTTCAGACCAACCTCATGCCCAATGTCTGCGAATGTTCGGCGCCCTATCCGGCCACGGGACTCCACCTTCAGAGATTGCTGCGGGAGTCCGTGTTTGTGATAATGAGGCTACCAAGGAGAAGTATTGTGGGATGCTCGTCAGCGGACGACACAGCCGTGACACCGGCACCGCAGTATGTCAAACGAGTACTGTGAGTCTTTCCATTAATCAATGTAAGTGTCGGTTATCATCAGTGTAAAGGAAACAAAAGGTAGCTGCTTCATTCCACCGTAAACCCCGTTTTGGACTCTCCCAGGTCCCATATTCCATCGCATATCCAATGCCCGTCCTCTATCGTCCACAAAAGATCCGGTATCCTCTCGAACCTCGTATCGTAGCGGTCCGAGATTCCCATCCAAAACCAGAAGTCATGCCACCGTACCGACATGGGCTTCTGGGACTCGGGTTCCGGTTGTGAAGTCTGAGGCGCCGGCCGGATTCCCTTCTCGTCGAAGCAGTCGGCCACCTTGAACCACAAGTTCTCGTCCTTGAGTTGATGGACCGCGATTGTATCCCCACCGGCTATTGCATGCTGAATGGCGTCCGGGTGTGTCTCCTTCCTCGCCCATGCCGTACCGTCATGTTGGGTGTCATCGTCATCGTAATCAAATTTCTCTATGCCCTTGAAGTTGACAAAATTGGCCCTCTCGCGCCCCTTTAGCATGAGAGTAGCAATGGCCATATCTTCCCCTGTTACCACGTGGTGCTTGCCCTGAAGTTGTGCCAAGAGCTGGACCATGTCCCAAGTGACGGTATACATAGCCCCATGGGGGAAGACGAGGTCCCAGGTCGGAGAGTAGTAGAGCTCGCCGATAACGGTCTTCTGAACCGTGCTCTTTGGGACTCCCGTAGCAGCATCCACTGATAGTCTCGGTGAAAGGAAGCGGTCCCAGAATCCGCGGGCGTTGAGCCACAAATCAGTGTCCATTTTGGAGATGAACTCATATTTGACGTCGCCGTCGACAAGCCACTTGTAAAACTCGAGCGTCTTGATGGTGTTGGCAGTGATATCATCCTCGGCGATGTGATCGAGCACAATCATATCCCCAAAGGTGCGGTTCTCGTTGGCTACCACGTCAGTCCACTGGGGCCCTGGGTTCGATACTACAAAGCGTCCGTCGAAGGGCACGTCCTCAAATATTCTCATCCATGTTGACCGAATAAGCATCCGACGCTTTGCGTCGGATGCCGTGGATATGACTGCCGCAAGCCAGGGTTTTGGGGGTCCTTGAGCGGTGCTGTTTGTTGGAGGTTGTTGGGGTGAGTGAGGGAAGGGTTTCAGAGCGTAGGAGGGTCCCGGGAGACTGTCCACCGGATTGCCGTGGACGATAGGCTTCGTGATCGGGGCCTCAAATGGCTTATGATGGGGATGTTGGGTATGATGAGCAAGGTGGAAAGTAATGCCGAGAAAGAAAATGGAGCAGATCGTAAAGACACGGAAGAACTTCCTCTGTATGCACCGACTCAACGACGTCCATATCGCCACAAGTATCGACGAGCATGATGCGACGGAAGTCATGTCGTCTCTCCGATGTCACGCTGTGAAGATGATGAGTTGATGATGGGACGAGTGAAGGCTGTCAAAAGAAGGGAAGAAGAGAGTTCTCAAAGTTGGGACGAGATGGGACGGAAGAGAAGTCCGGACTAACTCCAAACCTCCCTGATACACCAAATTACACAACTAAGATTCCGCAGCAGGAGCACCATTTCGGGTCCTGAAGCATAAATATAGTTGCTTCCAGCTGCAGTGGATAGCACGTTCCTAAAATTAAAAAGCCCCCAGCTGACAGGGCAGTGAATATGGTTAGGTCGTAAATTCTCATCGACGTGGTCAGTCGGCTGCGCGGTCGCAGGCAGACCCTATTCAACTTTGGACAGCATGTACAGCAGCGTTTTGTTTGAACTGTGGGCTGCGGTCGCCCTGTTTGTGTCATGATCGGCATCTCAGCCGTACTCCGCTCAAGCCAAAGTCCCTCTCCTCACCCGGAACATTGGTGTTGGAGACATTGGTCGTCTTGAAGTTGGGCCATTATTCTTGGGAGTGACGTAGGAGGAGGGGATGAATCATGGGCCACGTATTTTATTCCTCAGTGGATGGGTGTTGCTGTCGCCCTGCACAGCCTCTTCTGTGGTGGAAGTTGACGATTTACACAAGTCAGCCTTCAGGGAACCAGAATTTCCCTTTTTGAATTTTGAGGGATTCGATGCGCAGCACACTAATCCGGAGGAATCAGTAATGGACCCGCTCATCACTATCGGGAGAGATCCGTCGGTAAGAATCAACGAGTGTGGCGGGCGAACAAAGAACTTTCGCAACCATGAAAACTGGATCATGACAGGGTCTGGGTTGAGTCGTTGACGGATCGTCTGCTGCACAGTGCATACATTACTCCAGAAGACACTTTGTTTCTGGAGCGTTGGTCGCCGTGAACTTGACTCACCGGCAACCTAACGAGAACGGTCCATCTGTCTTTTTATTGGCCACGCCCGAAACAAATTTGAATGCCGTGATCAGATGAAAATATGCTACCTGAAGCTGTCTTGTCTACGTTCGACCTAGCTGTGCTGCCGCTCTCCAAGAACTCTTCTCTCAGCCGCGACCAACGATGACCAGAACCTGTAGGTATAGCATCCCGAAACCCAGTCTCGTTAACCGTTGGTGGGACAATGTCAACCACGTGGTTTTTGCGTTCAGAGAACAGACAGTCTGTCATGTCTCTCTTATTGATGTGTGCACCTACACTAGATGCAAACACCAAGCTCCACTTGACCAAGTGGGCTGAGAAGATCAAGAGACGACCATTAAGCCGAAGTTGTGGGAAAATGCAATTGCCGAAACTTTCCCACTGATGGCCAATCAGTTGCTGTTATTCTCGTGGCTACCATGCAAACACTTTTACAGTACACTGCTTAGATTAGCTTTCCAACGTTCGAGAACTACTGCTGAGCCTAGCCCGGGCCTACACCCTGCAACGAAACGGGCAAATAAGCCTTGGGGGTTGGTCTGCTGTGATAGAAAAAAAAGCAAAAACTGTCTCGTCAATCAATGCGATCATTCTCCGCAAAGGGCGTGGATCCGCTTAACCTTGACTATGCCTATGCCCGCCCCTGTGTCATACACCTTTGGTTATGCAATGTTGGTGAATCAGAAAGAGCCGGTGACTGTTTGCATAGTGACGTGCAAATCCTATTGAGCGGAACTTTACACGTGGAGTGCTACCCGGGATAGTCCACTCCACAGCGATTGAATTGAGTTGCACTAGTAAGGAAAGTTCTGCTTACCTGACCGTGCTGCCAGTCATAACCGATGAGGCTATGCACATACGGGGAGCGATCTCCCAGGCAAGAGAACAATCTGGGCCGTGATACAACGATGTGTGGAGAAGGGGCGCCGGACGAAAAAGGCAATGTTACGGCTTTGGGTCCCCTCATCGGCCGCTCGCGTAATAGATCCACCTGTACCGGGCAAGAAATTGATGGAAGCTCATCTAACAGTTGAGATCTTGGCAAAAAAGACATCCATGATGAAGAATCTCTTGTGGCTCTGCTTCCGGGTTTCCACTGGGAAAGTGTCCGCCGGGTTTTGCTCCAGCTAGTGCTGTTGGATCAACCAAAGACGTTTGGAGTTGAACAAGCACTTACGCTTTCCAATCAATACAACTATGTCGTGCCAAGCATCACTTGGGATCTGACATAAGAGTCGGCATCAAGAAAGTTTCGGGACTCATCGCTGATTTACAACTGTCGAGATATTCTCTTGCGGTTGAACAAGGCTTCAGGCGAACATGTTCCTAAGCTTAGTTTTTACTCACCTGACCCTCCAGACTGACTCCGAAGTTCACAATGACGTGCGCTCGTCTTGTAGGAACCACAAGACGGTTAGTACATCTTTCATTGAAAGTTTCGACTCCATTGTTATTGTTGACGGCTCGACCTGTCAACTGTCGAGGTAGAATTATATGCGGGACGTTCAACAAGCGCAACACTGTGCACGCGTTTGTGAATGCTAAACAGTGAGACAATTGCAAGCTATGAAGATCAGGTTCAAAATTGACTATACATGGAGTACTTGGGCTATATCGTCTTGATGACCTACAACTAGTTTAATTTGATTACCAAAGTAGTTTATTCAGGATGTAATTAGCAACTTGTCGGGCCTGGATTGAGCCGGGGATAGCTTCAGGCACTTGGCGGCCGTGTGAACCCTACACCTCGTAACGAAATGTCATGTCGAGATGTAGACCACTTCAACGGGGAGGGCGAGAGTAAAAGCAGCTTTTGATGAAGATCAAGAGGGCAGTAACTGTGTGAGCGGCTGGAATAGAGTTGCCGTGATCAGACCCATCCCACTTAGGGCGGCGCCGGCGCCGTCACGCAGCCGAGACAGGGGGGGTTCCAGGCGGGGGAAGACTGAGCACGCCAGAGCACAACGGCATGACATCACCAAGACGCATTTGAAGATCCATCTCCTCCCTTGGAACCAGTGCACTTCGCTTCGTTTTCTCATCAAACATTCATGGCCTTCATCCTCGGTTCCAAGCACTCTAGCGTCTGCTTGGCCTACGACAGTCTCCACCGTTTCAATCCCCATTTAACTATTACCGACCACGAGCTGTCTTGAGTGCCACAGCCCTACAAAACGGCACCAACTATGGCGGGCTCTCTTGCAAGCAAGCTCATGGCCGCGGCCGCTCTATGCGCCGCTGCTATCGCTGCTCCCACCGGCGAGGATCAGATCGTCTTCAAGACCGATGCGGACTTGACTCAAGTCCATGAAGAGTAATTTACATTCACAGCTTATCTCGTCTGGAAACGTGCTCATGCAACATAGGCTCTCCAACGCCCAGATCATCCCTACGGTCCTGGAAGACTTCCAGCCCATCATCGGCCTTTCGGCCGAGTGGTCCTCTTCCAACGTCGCTGATCTTGGCAACACTTTGAAGCCGGCCAAGCTCCAAAGCGCACCCTCAGTCTCTCTCGTCAAGGGCTCGTCAATGTCCAGCAGCGTCATTGCTACCACCTATGTCTTCACCCTGACTGACCCGGATGCGCCCACCCGTGACAATCCCATTTGGTCCGAGTTCTGCCACTGGATCGCGACGAGCAGCTCTCCTTCGATCGCCGTAGGCGTCGAGCCCGCGCATCTGGATGATGTCGTCGAGTACAAGCCACCCGGGCCACCACCGAAGACGGGCAAGCACCGTTACGTATTCACCGCGTGGGTGCCGGCCAACGGAACTAAGGAGAAGTTGGATTTGTCCAAGCCGGAGGAGCGAAAGCATTGGGGAGGCGAGGAAGGACGTGGCGTGCAGAAGTGGGCCAAGGAAAATGGCCTCGTCGCAGTTGGTGAGTTAACATCGCGGGTGCCCCTATTTCTTCCCTGCTAAGACTGACCGATCGCTAGGTGCAAACTTCATTTACGCCCAGAACGAGAAGCAGTGATTGTTCTGACAATTCTCGGTGTCTTGCTTCGCCCTGTATGCAGAAAAGCGGTAAGGCCAACGGAAAAAAGCGTATCATCATTATTCCAAAGGCCGCCTGCCCTAATCCTAGTTCACTATTGTTCGAGTGTGTGAGTTGCAATGCAGCATATTTCTCGCACTCTATTCATCAGCTGGGGCTGAGGTTTGCCATGCGATCAATTATGGGCAGCACCAACTATATGTCCCGAGATGTTGTGGTAGACGTGCATGTTTATTAACTACACTAGGGATCTAAACAGGGCATCCCTCGCCATAATGTGAGAAGTCATTGAAGCAGGTAGCAACAGAAAATCAAACACAGAAACATGTATGCAAGCGAGTAGTAGCCGTGTTGTTGAGTGCTACCCTCTTCCTCCATCTACATTGTCCTCATTCGTCAGTTTTACATCCTTTGTACTCGGACACCCCTGCCCCTTACCTCATCTCGAGGTCTGAAGAAAAGCCTCAGGACCTAATATTAGAAGAGTTCGTCCGTCGTCGTTTTGGTATAGGCGGAGAAACCGAGGCTTCATCGGCCGTCTGGCTTCCACTCGATCTCCGGATTGGTGTAATGTTTCTGTTCCCCTCTCTGCCATTTGGGGATGACTGCTCAGCTGTTTGCTCCATCTGGTCGGGCGGAGGCTGCTGCACGGTCTTATGGTTGACATTAGGAATGGGCGTCTCAATCTGTTGCGCAAGTCGCGCAGCGCGCTCAGCCTGATGCTGGCGCCTTTCTACTTCTCTTTTCCTAGTTGATTCTCCCTTCCAGGGGCATTTCTCCTTGTGACGGGCACAATTTCCACAGACTGTAGAGTTTCCAGCCCATTCGAAACAGTGATACCCGCGTGATATACACCTCTGGCACCTATTCTTGCCTTCGAGTTCCTTCCCCTCCTTCTCGATTTGATCAGCATGCTCATGCTCGTTTTTAGTTTTCTTTGATACCCATTTCCCTTTGGCGGGCTCCTTCAGCCTGCACACTGTGCAGACACAAAAGACCTTGTTTTTCGGCTGTTTATCGGCATTTTTCTCTGATGCTTCCTGCAAAGCTTCAGACTTGGGGGCATTGGCCATTATTAGGGTTGAATCCCGCGATCCTTCATTTATGGGACGGAATCCTTGGATCCTTGGCACAGGCTTCTCAGAGGGCAGACGTCTTCGGGGTGATGTTGCGGCCTTGGGGTCCCGGGAGTGATGACTGGGACCTGCTGGGATCATTGGAGACGGGGGGGCGGCAGAGCTGACGGAGTCAAGGGGGCCGGCAGAAGCAGAGGAAGAGACGGTAAAGGACCTGGATCTTACGATAGCGCCGGCCGAAGGACTGCTGGAAGATCTTGAACGCGGCGAGCCTTGGTTGTCGACCCCGGTTTTCGCATCTGTAGCTGCTAGAACTCGCAAGGCATATGCAGCAGCCGCCTGACGGTTGTAGTTTACAATCGCTTCTGCCGTGACTTCGGAAGTCACTTCGAGATTACCTGCCAGAAGGCTTTTAATAGAGAGATTCATTGGAGGGCTGGTTCGTGTTATAATCGTGTCTTCGATATTGCTCGGGTATGCTACAAAACCAAAAGTGGAATAGTAGTTTATCACAATTGAGTATGGAGAGTAGCAGGGGTTTGAGTCTCCTCTCGACGAAGTTGTACAATGGAAGCAATGGTCAGAAATACAACTGGAAAGGACCATCATGAAAAAGTTTATGGAAAGGTTTGACGGGATTTTGTGCATGCCAACAGAAAGGACGGAGATACCTAAATTTTCAACATGATCGAAATAGATCCGGCTCGGTTCTTAGCACAGATACTTTACTCGCTCAATTTCTGCAATCTGCGAACTAGGCAGCAGCGCCCATCGGAGAAACATGGGGAAGAAACCACAGTCACAATGTCGTGGTTCTATTGATATCGAAGAACTCGAGGCTGAACACGAAAGCTGTGGAAGAAACAGATCGCCTCGACGGTTTCGAGGAGAGCAGACCCCCTCCCGTTCTCTAAGGAGGTGATTGGGAAAGACAAACGATGTGGCGTATTTGCCAGGGCAAATCGTAAGTTGAAGCATTTGCGCGTAGACTAGAACACAGTTATTGGGTGCTTACTGCTCTTGCCTTCGCTCCTGAGCTGCCCAGATATTAACCTGGCGACAGGAGCGCAGTTGCTACATCTTCCCCCAATAGCTACAACAACACAACAGCTCCTGGAGGAGACAACGTCTACCAGTGAGCATACAACCATGACTCGTTCTTTCGTAGAACATTCGTCGTCTTTCAATCGATGTGGATGATATTCTTTCAGGCCAGCCACCCTCGAACATACACCCTCTATTGAAACTGTCGCACAATGACATGCATCTTCCCAAACTCGTATGTGCCATTTTGGGTACTGTCGAGCTCGATCGTTGGCAAAGGGAAGACAATAGCTTGAAGACAAAGACCGACCAGCACAAATCTCTTGCCATGTAACCCTCGACTGCACTGTCTTTTGATTTTCTCTCAGTCGTACCGAGGAAATGGCCTTTTCACGTACCGTGAAAAATTGTAAGTTGGTTTCGTCAACCCGACAACTGCCTATATCTGACCCACGGCTCGTCCAAAGCAAAGCCGTGGCCATCGCTCCATTGGACTAAAGCAAAACCTTGTTTGCCACGCCTGGACGACCACTCAGACACGGTAACAGAAGAAAAATAGTGGAAGCCACCCAGACAATACACGTTCGGCACTACGGCTATCGCCGGTGGGCCTCCGGTGGACCGCCAATACCCAAACGGGCATGTCTATCCGGGCCACCAGACTCCCGGACCCCGCACCGTATCGTCTTATCCTACTTCTGAACGCGGGGCTCTTTGGCCTGATGGATGTTGCATACCGTTGTCTTGTGTGAATGCCGTGTCACGGAGTACATGGAAAGAGCACTCTGAAATCATTCCGATGTATGAGACACGTCTGGCAACATCGCACAACATATTTCGAACACCACTGTCGAGCTCCCCTCGTGTCCTTGACGTCGTTCTATATTGTGTAGTCTCAGGATCGAGCATCTATCCATCAAGCTCTCTCCTGTTAAGCCCTCTCATCTCACAGCGAATTGCACCTCAACTCTACAACTATCCTCGACTGTGTCTTAGTTGAAAATTGTCTCGTTCTCGATTTGACTGCATCAACATCAAATGGACGAAAGAGCCCGCATTCCCGTCACCCTTCCTGTGGCCAAGCCAACCAACAGCTATTGGCACTCTCCTCCATCCTTCCTCTCAAACCATGTCTCGAGTCCATCGCTACCCTCAACGACCGATACCCTGATAATAGGAAGTGGCATTACGGGCGCTGCCATAGCTCATTTCATGCTTACCTCGCCTTCTACCAGAAGCTCTTCTCAACATGCGCCATCACCTCCTGACATCACAATGATAGAGGCTCGCACCGTGACTTCAGGCGCAACAGGCCGCAACGGAGGCCACACAAAGGCCGCATCGTACCGGTCATTCCTCCACCACGCGACCACTCTCGGCACCGAAGCTGCATGTCTCATCGCACGTCTTGAGCTTGCCAACGTCCGCGCCGTTCATAGTTTCGCGGCGACTCATCTGAAAGACAAAGGAACAGAGAGCAGACCCTGCCAGACTGTCGACGTGATATACGATGCTGTCCAGTGGGAGGCAGCGAAACAGGCCGTCGAAGCGATGAGGAAAGCGATGCCTAACGAGGATGCTTCGCGGTACGAACTCTACGATGCTGAGGAGACGCAAAAACGGTTCCACGTTTCGGGCGAGGGGCTACATGGTGGTGTGGCATATGAGGCCGGGAGCATCTCCGCGTACAGCTTCACCACCGGCGTGCTGGAGCTGTGTGTCAACAAGGGCCTGAAGCTTTTCACAGAGACACCCGCAGTCAGCGTTAAGAAGCTTGCCGAAACTGCTGTAGACGGCCATCGGTGGGCCGTGGAAACGCCCAAAGGACATATCGCAGCGCGGAAGGTGGTGTTTGCGACCAACGGCTACACGGCCTTCCTCGACCCGCGGTTCCAAGAGTCCATCGTGCCAATGCGCGGACAGATCACGGCTCACCGGCCAGGCTCAAACATGCCGAAAGGAGGCCTGGCGACAACGTACAGCTTCATCTACGAAGCCGGTTACGAGTACATGATTCCTAAGCCGCCGGGAACGCAGTTTGCTGGCGACATCGTTATCGGCGGCGGACTCGTCCGCGCACCGGACGAGGGGTTGAGAGAATACGGAACCACGGACGACTCGCAGCTGAACCCCATCATTAGCACGTACCTATACGAGACCACACCGCGCTATTTTGGCGGCAATTGGGGCAAAGATGACCCCGAAGGACGAGTGCGCGCTGAGTGGACCGGCATCATGGGCTTTAGCCCGGATGGGTTCCCCTTCGTGGGACAAATGCCTGGCGAAGAGGGGCTCTGGGTCTCTGCGAGTTTCCAAGGCCATGGCATGGTGCTCTGCTGGATGTGTGCAAAGGCTCTGGCCGTCATGCTCGAGGGGACCGAGGAGGAGAAGCAGCAGCTCGACAGCTGGTTCCCCGACGCCTTCAGAGTCACTTCTGCACGGCTAGAGCAGAGATTTACAGGGACAGTGAACCACTCAACATCAGGACCCGCTGAACGGGGTTTAGGACAAAATTGACTCAACTGACGACGCCTTACCTGCGCCTGCCTACGCGCCGGGCGGCGGGTTGGCTTGTTCGCTGGAGGCTGGAAATAGACTTTGCTCGCGTCAGCCCTGGCCGCTTAGCTTAACCATTCCCTCGGATTGACGATGGGAGGACAAGGAGCGCCGTTCTGGCGGTGTGAGGCGAGGCATGCGAGGGAGGGAGGGGGGAAATGAACGGCGCATTCCCGGCAGATACTGCAGTCTGCCAATATTGTTATTGTTTGATTGCTTTTTAGGATATGCAGCTCAGCGGAAGAAGCGCTCGTGAGGTACATGTGGGATGGTGCTGTGAAAGGCTCGTTGCGGGCAACTAAGGTGGGGAGGGGAAGCAGTGCCGGCGTCAATCTGTCATTGGTCTTGAGTCGTCTCCCGCTGACCACTTTTGTGTTCTGCATCTCCGTGTGTTGCGACGAACAAGGAGGCCGGGCTATCTGTCGAAAACACAAGTCAGGTTCCTAAAACAAGCGAACGCATGCCTCCCTTTGATGCTATCCTGCAGGTCGCACCCTGCGTGTGGGACAGCTAACGTTGAACAGCCCCGCCTGACGCCCACTCCCTAAACCCAATGATATCGTTGGTGTTTGCCGCCCTGTTCCATCGTGTCATGGAGTCTTCTAGGCGAGCGGCACAGGCGGGAATGGATCTTGCCAATGCGCTGGCACCGTAAACCTCGCCCCGGGTCGCCTGCAGTTGCCGCTCCAGGGCGACCACTGGGCTGGAATCAAATCACAGCACAAGGAGCGTTCGGTGGGAGACCCGACGGACGGAACCGTGGCGTTTTGGGGGCCCTTCTTTTTGGATAAACAGAGAGGGTGGATAGCAATAACTTGGTATTGTTAATTAGGCTGGCGGGTAGCGTACCCTTGGCCTGGGTGATTCGAGCGGACATCCACCGAAAGCTTTTCAACGGGGGACCGATGCTTGAACCGCTGTTCAGGGCATTTGTGAGGAGATCTCAGAGATAGAGAGGGCAGCTTTTGATTCCGCATCATCCGCTGATCCGAGGGGCAAACGATCCAGGGGAGCATCAGACTGGGGGCCTGGGAATGGTCATCAGCAACGGAAGTCGAATGTGACCCTAGAAGCAAGCATGGGCTCACTTCTTGTTCGATGCATCCCAAGATACCTGCAAGACCCCCGCTCAACACAGCATTGTGGCAGGTGCTTAATGCGACCCTGTCCTGTCCTGGGGCATCACCGGGAGGGTGCGCGCGGCCGGCCGCAGCACGTACGGTACGACGAAGACGACGTGGTTGGCAAACATTGCCGGCCAGCTTCGAAACGCACGCTGGGCCGCGATCCACTGTTCTGGAGAGCCGACCTTGGCAGGCTGCGAGACCCAAAGGATTCAAAGGCGAAGGGAAAACCAAGCCGCCTCGAGAACAAGCGCGAACTGCACGAGAAACCCGACAGAGGGGATATTGACCCGCACACTGCAGGCACGGCACAGAACCCACCAATAGCCCTTCGATTGGGAACGCAGGCTACCGGATGCGGTGAGCGTCCAAGTCTTGCGGCGTGATGTTTGGGCCAGTTGCTGCCCAGCTTGCGGAGGAGGCAGCGAGGAGGCTTGGTACGCTGATGATTGCCTATGCCGTTTGAGTCATGTCTCGACATGCGTGCGTACACTAGGTAGCCGTTGTTGTCGACGTGCGTTTGTCACTGGGCGCCGTGGTTCGTCGTTAGTGATGGAGACGCAGCGCTGTGTGTGGGAACTCGAGCATCCGAGGACATGTGGAGTTGCCTCACCAAAGGCCTCGCGGCCGAATGTGCTGGACCGGAACAGCGTGCTTCGGTGGTGCTCGATGGCGCCGAGATCTTCGTTGCTTCAACATTGGTCATTGACCGTGGTCCGCGAGTACGTGATGAGCTGAGGGCTTTGCAGCTCGACTGAGGAGGGACGCGCCGTGTCATGCAAGTGAGGTATGATGGCTGGGTCGTAGAGGGAACAGAAAAGATGTACGGTCATGCATACAAATGTGCTGATCTGCGCGTAATCAGGTGGCCTGCGGGCACAACGGACCCGGGCGCATGCCTGGACTGGACTGCTGTTTGTCGCCGGCGCTGCAGTCGACGATGCGGCCGACACAAGACCCCAAAAGGTTGAGTAATCCTCCTCCAGATAAAGGCTATCTAGTAGTTGCACGGTGTCTTCTAATGTCGACCGCCTCCGAGACTGGGCACGGGGATAATCACGATCGGCAAGTAAGTGAAGACTGAAAAGCAACGGCTTGTGGATGGCCGCATCTCACCAGCACTAGTGTGTTTGCTTTGGGTCCTGGCAGGCCTGGATCACAGGTGGTGACTAGCACGAGACCGACCCAAGAAGCACCTCTCCAGAGCAATGTTTGGTCTTCGAGGCATCCAGGGCAGAGAATAGCCCCGGCCTATTGTTTCGTCTTTGACGAGAACCAAAGAAAGTGATATGGTCCCTCCCACAACTGTCCCCATGAACAGTACGTTTCACGTGCCTGGTTCACGCTGAAGAGGACAACAGCCCATAACCGTCACCGGCGATGACGGATGCGTTGACATAATAGTGCGTGCCCTAGGGCCGCGTAGCGCAGGACGTTTTGATCCTCGGCAAGAGGCTTGGTGAGGACGGTCCGGCGGGCACGAGTGAAGCTGCCGAACACGACGCTAACGGAGCGATAGGTCGACTGTCAAGGGAACCCTAATGAAGCAGGTCGCCGTCCACCCCTCTCTGTCCTAGTGTGTATTGTGCCCATTCGGAGTGGATCAAGGGTTGATGGTATTTCCACGATATGAACTAAATAGGCTAATAGGATCTGCAGAGGTATTATTCCCGGTGCTAACTAACGACGCCCGTTCGCTCCGGGCGGCAGATGAAGAGGTCGGGTGGTCGGGTGGATAAGGCGGACTGAAGACTGGATCAGGGCGCGGGCGGGATGATGGGCGGGGACAAGGACGGGCTGCAGCATTACGGCACCTTTGGCATGTAACGGTCGGTGGTCAGCCGGACGTATAGGCATTCAATCTTGGGTCGCCGTTGGGTCGAGACAGGATTAGACGAGACGAGGCGATGTTTCTTTGGCAGGTTGAAGCGTATGAGACATCGAAAGGCGACAGCGGACATGAACGAGGTTTACGGGGCCGTACTGTGGTCATGGGTCGGTGGGATTCGAGGGGTCGCATCCGAACGTAGTATTCAGCGGGTTAGGATGATGCAGCGAACGGGCAATTGCTTGCATACCATGGAACCTTGGAATGCGGGAGTTGTCGATGTATGATACGTCAGGCTTGGCGTCTTTCCGCACTCCGGACTGACTGTTCAAGGCCAAGTACCACCTCCCAATACGTCCAAGAGCTCGCCGTTGGGCTCCGGGAGTGAAGCGATGGACGTGAAAGGCTAGACCGTTGCAACTGCCGGTTGCCGGCTGACGAACAGCGTAAAAGGTTGCGATCTTCCATGCATTCGAAGGAGTTTTGGGAAGAGAGGGACAGCTTGGTGGGACGAGTGCCCTCCTCCACGGGCCTTTCCGCTTACAAATGCGCACACATCTCAGTTCAACTTGAGACGGTCATGTCTTGTTGATGTTTGATGTTCTCGCTGAGCAGTTCTTTACGAGAAGTCCGAGAAGTCCCTTTCAACGCGAGAATGGCGCATCAGTTTCTTTGGGGGGTGCCATGTTTTGTAGACGTAAACATTTTCCGGCCGGCCGTTGAACAGAGTGACCTTGATGACCCCCCTCTCTCCTAAATGCCTCCTCCCGACTCCCGGCGGCCGAGCGTGCCATCCCTTTGGGAGCATCCACTCCCACTGCAGCACCTAGGGCCCCAGGCTGGCGGTGCCGTCTGCCCATTCACTGAACAGAGGCACATAGTTGCAGTGCTGTCTCCGTCTCCCGCCCTCTTCGTTCTGACCCTTGCGCGAAGACAAAGGGGAAAGGATATCAAGTCAGTGAAGGAAGACAAAGGGGACTTGCAGCTCCCTGCCAACCACTTCTCGTCGCGCTTGCGATGGACTAATACATAACGTATTGGTGGTGTACATTTTCCTTCTTCAGAAACCTCGGTTTGCCCTCTTTCAGCATCCCAACAGCTCAAACCCCTCGTACCGCCAAGAAGGACAATCTGGATCTCGGCCCCCACTGAAGGGACTGATTCAAATCCCGAAATCTGATGGTCCACTCTTTTGGCGACGTTTTTTACCCCTCCAGAAGCTCAAGTTGCGCCCGTATCCGCCCTGTACACCATCCGCAACGGGCGGATTTGCTGCCAGTTGTGGAGAGGCTAGGGAACGTGTGTAGCGAAGTCTCGTTAAAACGTGTCGAGTCTGGTGCGTTCTCCGAACGTAGCATCTATGCACCCGTGGTCGTCATATCATACATACAGACTTTTACTTTCAATGCTTAACTCGAGGTTCGTGTCAAAAGCAAGTGAGTGTGGCCTCGAAGTAACAACAGAGACGAAAGATAAATATTAAAAAAAAAAAATCAAAGCGGCCTTGTCATGTGTTCCACGACAGAGGAGGTTGACATTGCCAGCCACAGATAGAGCTTGGTAAAGTCGCCGCAGGTCGACGGATGCCTTCCTTTAACCTTTGACCGTAAACAGTCCAAAGTTTGTTTGTGATATCTGACAAAGATTGTTCAGATTGTGCGGCTGCTGGCTTTGGAGAAGAGCTTGGCCAGCGGGCGAGGGGTAGCCCCGGGTCCGGGAGCATGGACATGGATTTCTCGTCAATCGTCTGTATTGTCAGCGGCCACTTCTCTGGAGTCAAATGTCACGCCACTCTGCCCTGCTGGTCGGTGCTTGCAGCATCGCTGTCGGCTTGCGGCTGCAAAAGCGACCTTGAAAGGAGGCACCATGGCGATGGCGATGCCGTTAGCGCAGAAGTTGGCGCCTGTTCGACGGGCGCTGGGATAGATAGTTGAACTCGTCGGCGCAATGGCACGCATGTTGACTGTGAGACTGACAGGTCGTCCAACGGCAGGCTGGCATAGATGTTGCGCGGAGACCTTGGCATCGTGGGGAAGCGATACATAGTAAGCTTCCTTCTCGGGACGTCGCACACTCTCGCGCATTCTCGGACCCCACAGTCTGTATCTCGCGGGGCTTGATAAGCTGGCTGGCGAGATATCAGAGACCAAAAAGCCGCAGGTCTGCAATAGTGACTTAGTCGATGGTCCCTTCAAGGACGGACACCGAGGGTGAGGTAACCGCAACAAACAGTGCCTGCAGTCAGTTTCGACCGAGCTTTGGCCGTGCCTCTGTCCCAGTCCCCAGTCTTCATCCCACATTTCCTAGGAGTCCCCAATCTTATGGCTGGCCGGTGGGTGTTTGACGGCTAGGCGTTGCAGCTTCACTGTGCACCATCCCAGCAGCTTGGTTCGAGACGGATTAGAGTTGCCACATGATGTTTTTGTTGACTCTCTCACCTTTTCGCGTCCAACTGCTACTCTTGGGAGCTGCTTCAAACCGCAAACGGTCCATTGGGAGAGCCGGCGTCAAGTCCATGACGATGAGAAAGAGTTGACGACGTGCCCAGTAAAAAAAAAAAAAAAACGATACTGACACCGGATGGCTCCAACTTGGTGCCCCTGCGAAAATCCTCCATTTGTCTTGGGGGCCCTGTCAGTCCCGGGCTTTGAAAATGAGCTTGTGCTGTCCAGCACAAGTGGAGGTATATGTGGATTAGATAAGCACACCCTGTCCTATGGAAACGTCCGAGCCTAATGAGAGGTTGAGAGGGCAAAAGAGGGGGATGGAGAGAGGGGAGGAGAGAGAACACTGGCTAGAATAGGGGATGTACCTCGACACCCACAGGTACTTCACGCTATCCAACCAAGAAAAGGGCGAGAATCAGACGGCCGTGACCGCTGCACGTTCCGGGTCCAGGTGCATCCTCCCACCTCAGTCTGCAGTGCCAGTGGAGTCAAAGAACAGGGCGGACAGGTTACAGGACAGGACAGGCCAGGCCACTTGCTCTTCTAGTTTACAAGATCATGGATGAACTCATGCTCCCGCCCCGTTGGGTCTCGATGCGCCCCTTTCGATATCCCCCTACGGCCGTGGGCGGCCCCTGGTCGGGATGCTGTGCGGCCGGGGGAAAAGGGGGGGGTCCCTTCGTTACGCATGTTGATGGAGTCCATTCCGACGGCCTTCCCTCCGCCTCGCGACAGGCTACCTTTGGTCTTGAGGATGCGCACAAAGTCTCCATCAACTCCAGCTTCCCCTCTTGAAAGTCCTGGTTTTCATTGGTATCCCGCCCAAACGGGTTCGTCATGTGCTCTTCAAGCTCTTCTGCGTCTCCTCTTCCACTTTGCTATCTCATCCTATCTTTCCCTCCCAATGCAGATACACGACACAGATCATGCAGATTCCGGGCCTAGCCTTAAGCTCAGACAATCCGCTCATTACGCACGCATCGTCTTGGCTCGGTCTCCTCCTACCTACTAAACACTTGAGGCTGCAATGAATATCCACTTGCCGACGTCCATCGACATGCGCCCAAGGGGGAAAAAGGAGTCGCTTGCCGCACATCATCGCCTGTCTCATCCATGGCCTTGACAGCTCCTGACTCGCCCCGGCCAGCACGACACCGCGCCTATGGTCGCAGCCCTAAGGCAAGCCACGTCTGCCAGCACATAACACATCGTGTGCGCGTTTCTCAGACCGCAACCCGGCATCCCTCGTAAGGACGGTTGTTCGCAAGAGAGTCCCCGCCTTCCTTGGATCTCCAAGGGCCCCGGAAGCTAGGCTACGTGCCTGAATTTTGGCAACGGGGTTTTGGGTAGCAGCTACTATTATTTAAAAATCACCTTACCTTTGGCCTCACCTTACTTTAACTCCCTCCACTTGAGCTGCGACACTACCGCATTCCACTTCTCCCTGACCCCCTCGCGGCGGGTTTCTCCATTCGGCACCAGGCGTCACTCACTCCTACGAACATTGCTTGAGCATGAGATGGAAGAGTCCCTCATAGACAAGACGCCATCTGACGCATTGACGGACATACACTGTCTCCACCAAGGCTCACAGGTATGTCTCTACTCTTGTCCCCGTCTCCCGCTGCTGTACATGTACCTGTCGCACGCCGTGCTACTTTGCCCACGCAAAGGCAGGGTAATGCCGTGTGTCACTTTCGGCGCAAAACAGACGTGCTTCCTCCCTCTGCCCCTGGTCTTGTCCAATCAAGGGCCCTTTACGACGCCTTCGTTCCTCATTCCCGGGTCCCCACGTCGTCAAGTCTGACCCGACAGCTTGTTTCTGAAGGATTCCTCCCCTCCCTCCGACGCTGATGCTTTTACCCTCCTGTCCCGCTGCCCGCACTACTGATGTGCGCAGCCACCCCACTGACAGGAGCCAGCTCTGCGAGTACCGCAGCACCCTGCCGTTTCGTTCGTTGCCCAGCCCCCCCTTCCTGGACGGCAGGACTCAGGAGCTGACAACTGAGGAATCACCAGCGAAGAGTGAGCATTGAGGGGGCCTTGCCTCCGAATAAGACGTATCAGCGGCGTCGTGCTTGCCATGAGTGAAGCTTGGTTGGGGCGCCATGATCCTGCTGCTCAGAGTTTACACACACATAAGGCACCAAACAAAATGTCTGTTGATAAGCACTTACAGACATTTCCCGCAAAGAACTACTTTCTTGCTGGCTTGGCGGACAGGCATAATCCACCCATGTGTATTATCCGTTAAGCCCGGGCGCGTTTGAGGCATCAAGCAAAGGACTGTTTCTTCTCTTGTACCTAGACGAAGCAATGTACATTCCATTGACCGGCATGTACATTTCCTTCCCTGCCTTAGTGCATGTTCTCTCAACCCAGAGAGGGCCACAGCGACAGCGACCCGTGCAGCAGACACAGGGCAGACCTGGACCTGGACCTGGACCTTGCACGGTCGTCCACAATCGTCCATCCATGCCTTTACCTCTGCTCCCTTACCTGACCCGTCTACTGCTACTACTCACTGACATCGGCCACATACATAATTGTACCTTTTTCACATTCATCCTCTCTGCCACTGTCTTTAACACCGCCGTCGTTGTCGTTGCGCTGGGGAAACCGGGACTCTTCACGTTTTTCGCTCGACAACTGAGCATCTCCGGCAACTTGCGCTCATCACTGACAGAGTCTCTGGTCGGTCCTCTAAAAGCCCATCAACCGATTGAACCCTCGGCCGTGACCTCGCGATACCATCGATATCCAGCGAACGAACCGATCGCCCATCTTTGCGCAGTCGGCCACACGCAAGAGACGGAAAGCCAGCCCCGTTGTATCGGGCATGAACACCGCCATTCTAGATGGACGCTAGTTGACGGCCGAAGCTTGCTAGACCAGCCGCAGGTTACATAGACCACCTCGCAGCTCCCCTCCCTCTTGATACCAAAAAAGGTCATTCACTCATCAGACTTCTCAAGTCTGCTGCCTCTGCCGCCATACGTCTGGTAGTCTGCGCTTCCCGCTACCCTGCCGGTACGTACCTCTACGACTGTATCTGTACCACTCCACAGATCTCATCATGTTTTCCTTGTTGTCGATACCCTTTAGTCTTGGTGCACCTTCGCGGCCAAGTCACGGCCATCTCGGCGCCGAAAGACGCAAACCACCATATCCTTTCTTTCATAACACCCGGTCAGCCCATGGCAAGCCATGCCAAAATCCCAGCAAGCAGTTGAATCAAACTCTGATCAGCTTCTTCGATCTTTCGCTTGGCCGCTCGCGTCCGCGACTTCGCCAATCCCGAACAAAGCGCACACACACCTCCACCAAATAACCCTCTCCCATTGTCTCGGGTCCCTCCTTGTTGTTCTGCTCCATTTTATTTTTCCCTTTCTCTTCCCCAAGACAAGCAGCACAGTTGTGTTGTGAGAATCCCCCCTCGTCGTTCGTTCTCGCCTCCCTTCACCCCTCCGCATCGACGTTTTCGGCCAACATTTCCCCCATCCAGTGTCTCTCTTAATCCACAAGCGGCTCGACCGCTTCCCACGCCGCTTCGGGACTTTACTGATCTGATGGTTAGACGCAGAAAGCCCGGCTGCCAATCAGGGACGTCATCGCCGGCAATTTCTGGTTTTGGAGCTTGTCCCCCCCCCCCCCCATTTTGGATTTCTCAACCCCTGGAGGTCCTTTCACGTTGAGGAGCCAGGCTTCGGATCGCTTCGCACTGCCACTTTGCATCGAGGCCAGCTTTGCGCCAAAGTCGGACATCGCCGCAAAGGTTCTCTTTCGACCCCGACGGTCAGCACCTTGGGTGCACTTGGGATCCGCGGCATAGCATCTCGCATGCGTCCTTTGGTTACGGGTCGCTTCATTACGCCAAGTCCACAATGAATTCGCCGCCAAATTCACTACGCGCAACACAACTGAGAGACTTTCTGACAGATCCTGCCACGGGTAGCCCACGTTCAACCAAAGAACCGCCCGGACCCCGGCGCACAGTCGGCGGCCCCCCTTCGCCGGCAGGCTCAGGTCCGGCCGTCATGTCACCACCCAGCTCCACCGATACCGCCATCACAGTCGGCTCCCACAACGACGACGATAATGATACCGAGAGTCTCACTGACAGTGTGAGAGAGCACATGTATGAGAATCGTCTGCGTTACCATGCATATCGCTCAGGAAGATACGCCTTTCCCAACGATGCCACCGAACAGGATCGAGACGAGATGAAGCATATCATCAGCGTCGAGCTGTGTGGGAGGTACTTCTTTTCGCCCGTTCAAGATGTACTGGCGAGAGGTGCCGAAGTCCTTGACTTGGGTAAGTGTTGATTCTTGAGTGAAGCTGTCGCGCGGTGATGTTGCGATGACTGTGCATTGTTGCATGTTGTAAACTCGTTACATATCAGCTGTCTCGAGCTGTCTCTCAGCCCATGTCCATGTCACTTAAGAGGGCATGCTATGATCGCATCTTTACCGGTCGACTTTCTCGTAGCCCTTCGGTCTTTGTATTGAGTTGCATGTGGCTAACACTACCGTCGTAGGAACCGGACCCGGCCACTGGCCCATCGAACGTGAGTGATCCCCATTCACACATCTCCTCAGTTCACATCAGATAGTTCCTCTTCGCCCAAACTTTCTATGTTTACCCCCTCCCTTCTTCCCAGTGCACCTTAATGTGGTTATTGGCAGTCAACTCACATACCTTTATCGCAGTGGCCGATTTAAATCCGAACTCTACCTTTCTCGGTATCGATCTCTCGCCCATCCAGCCCCCTGAGGTTCCTCCCAACTGTCACTTCATGGTCGACGACATTGAGCATGAAAACGGATGGGATCTGGACAAGGACTATTTCGACTTTATTCACCTTCGACACACTCTGCACTCTGTTCGCGATCGCCCAGAACTCATGCAAAGGGCATACGAGTACGCACACCGTCCATTTGTCAATCGTTATTTTATCCCGGAACTTGTTTAGGTCAAGGTTGAATCAGAAGCTGACAGGTTGTAGACACTTGAAGCCCGGCGGATGGTTCGAGATCCAAGAGCTCGAGTTCTTTCCTCTTTGCGATGACCAATCTTGTCCGGAAGGGGATGGCTATGGCTTCCGAGTCTTTACGCAGTACTTGGAGGCAGGACTCAGGGCCCTTGGTTCAGAAATGCATGGCATCCGTGCTGCAGTCGACGAGATGCAAGCCGCAGGTTTCGAAAATGTGCAAGAGGATCGGCGGAAGTGCCCGATTGGCGACTGGCCAGCAAGACCTGAGCTACGAGAGTGCGGCATTTACATGCGAGAAACGATTCTGGAAGGCCTCAAGGGCCTAGCGACACGACCATTCAGGGCTCTCGGCTGGACTGAAATACAGATCGAAATGTTTCTGTTGGGCGTAAGGGGACACGTGAAAGAAAGAGACTTTCACACCTATCTCTTTCACAGAACCGTGTATGGGCGGAAACCGCTCGAGGCACCCAGCCGATAACTGGTGAAAGCCGGACGAATACGAACTGAGGCCGATGAGACGAGACGAAACAAAATGAAACGAAACGACGACGACGGAGGAATAACCGCACACCAGCAAAGGCGATGCAGGGTCATTTAGAGTTGGCTTCTTTTTTACTTGATTTTCCTGGGATAGGACGCTTCCTTTCCTACATTGTACATGCTTTGCATACGGGTGTATCTGGGGCATTGCATCAAAGGTGCTCAGCTGGCGGGCTGGCAGTTAACATCATCACAACGGGGACACTGCATCGGACTTTGAGGGGAACCTTCCGGCGGTTCAAAGGGGAAAACGGACGGCGGGCGGCAGCTTCGGCTTTTGACATGCCAGGTCACACTGGTTGCAGCGGGCGATGGGGAGTTATTTGTTGGGCTTTCCCTCTCTGTTTCTTTCTTCTAACAGAATTCATGAGACTACGAAGACGGCGGGTAGTTCTTTTCTTTTTTCTTTCTTTTTTGCATGGCTCGATTCATCCGAGTTTGAGAAGAAGTTTTTTTGGTTCACTTATCGGGCTATACTCGTTTTCGTACATGGTACAAAACGCGAGCGGCTGCTGCTGCGGGCTTGATGCTGGATAATGAATCAAAACATCTCTCGACCATGAGAGAATGACGAGAACTCTTTACTAAGGACTTTTGGATATTTCCAGCGGTGATGTGCAGCTTAGGTTGGAGTTTGGTTCGGGACGTTGCGCCCGAGCCGTAGTGGTAAACACACGGCGTGGTTGACAAATTTCGTTGATTGGCTTTTCCACGGAGGTTCGTTGATAATGGCTTCTGTCAACATGGCTGTTTTGGGCATAACCACGCCGGATTATATCATTGTGGTCCAAGTCTCACTCAACTGTCCCGGCAGATGGTGGTTGCCATTTATCACAACTCAGGCGCACTAAAGCAAGTTGCCACAACGTATGACAGCTATTTGAGCTTAGAAAACGCAGCCAAGAAGGCATGACAGAACAGCGTAGCAACTGCTCAACAAGTATAGGAGAATCCGATGTGGTTCGACAAGACTGGATTTGCCAAACCTCCGTAGCTTGGAGTTGTTGGTTGGGCGAACAGTGAGCAAACCTCACAGCAATACATTCTGGGTTGTAGTGCAATCCGCGGAACACCAAGTGAGGTTTACGCTTGGATTAGTCTGATAGGATCTTGATGTGTCTGTAGGCTGTGGGTGATTCTGGTAAGTAGTAGCCTAGACACTCGAATGATCTACATAATTGGACTTCCAGTTCAGTTGTCTCTTCGGATACTTTCAATTCAGTAACGTTCTTATATGGTTGATTACGAATTCGAACACACGAAGTGACATTCAGAAGTAGATGCAAGGTTTTCTTGTTTCAAATTTCTCGAGGGCCTACCCATGTTCTCGCTGAAGCAAATTGCACAAATGCAAGGCTCTTCCTGAGTAGCTGCCGCCATGTTCGCCACTTAATTGCAGGATGTTTGAGTCGGAACTGATAAATGATGACCGCCTATTTGAGCTGAACTTTGGATTCACAACCTCGACTCACCCCTTCTATAATACAGACGCATCAACAACTGCGAGTAGTTTTGTGGGGTCTTAAGATGAACCATGTATTGCCGCTTCAGATGAGACGATGCTTAATCTTACGCGCGAGAACTGCGCAACTATTAAGCTCTTGGGTGAAAGGTTGCCTATTCCCCTGAAGCTCACACAATCTCAAATCGCATGACCTAAACGAAATGTTTGATATTTAACAATTCGGTGATCTCGTTTCATTAGTGATACAGTAGGAATGAGCAAAGGTATTGATACCTGTTGGAGGGCTGAGTAGTAGAGAAACTGTTCTCAAGATATTGAGTGGTTGGAAGACAAAGACGAACACACATACAACAGAAAATAAGAGAATGTGAAGCAAAAGGATGTATAGTTACCCGTGTCTTCTCATTCTTGATGTGAAGCAATATTTCATCTTTCTATTTGCATTTTTGTCTGTAAAGACCCTCAAATAGGTGAGGGGACAGAAGAGTAGTGGATACTGGCCAGGAGCTTCGTCTATATAGCTCTTGTAGACGATTATGACATGACCATAATTTTTCATCGACGCGAATTCGATAAAGAAGAACCTGATTACGGCTATTCCAACTGGTAAGAACAGGTGGACGGGAAAGCTGCACGAGACTGCAGACTTTGGGTTATCGCCAAGTTTTGAGATAAGTCTGATTCTTCTCTGTATTGCAAGCGACCTTTCCTGAATCCAAGTACCGCCACTATTTGTTTGTCAACTTTCGATGGCCCTAAGGGGTTTGTAATAGCCTAGAATTTATGTAATTCGAACTCGATTACATGCACAGCAGACTGTGTGTTTGTCGGAACTATCGAGAGGGCATCGATTGTAGTGGGCGTGTTTTCTCCCTAGATCAAACCATTCTTCTCGACGTTACCGGGGATCTTTAGATGGGAATATGAAGGAGAGATATATGGTACTCATTCACAATGAACGTCTTTAAGAGGCTACTCAAATCATCGAGCCTTATTATCATGCATCAATAGTCATCTACCCCTTCGTAACTATTATTCTCTAAGTTACCGCTGTATGTGACAATCAGAAACTATTAGATCCCAAACACAGAGGAGTTGAGGATTACGTAGCAAGATCTTTCAATATCAAGTGAAGGAGTGCGGAAAATGTGGGATATCATTATGTTGGAGCAGGGTGCCGTAGAACCTTCATGTAATTTATATCCAGATGGAAGTTGTTTTGCCTGAGATATGTTGGGGCATGAGTGTTGAAGTTGTAGTTACTCTTAAACATGTCCAAACAGACAACGTTCCTCATGTCTGCTTAAGACTGAGCGCAATTACAAGTCATCTGCGGTACAGGAGGAGCCTCACGCCAGCTTGAAGTTCTCCCTAGCAATCATGGTACCCGGCATCAGCCAACATTTGATATTTGGTCATATTCCAAGCTTGTTTGTAAAGAGCCTAATGCTTTCTCAAAACGGCTTGGCTCTAAAGACGAAGATGGGGAGCCTTTGCACAAGTCTTTTGTGTCATTGCAGCAGCAGTGTAGCCTTACAAGCTCAGCCCAAGTGACAGTTCAAATCACCCAAGACATGCCGTGGACCCTCTCCTTCCATATTTCACTTGAGACAAGATGGATGCAACTTGGTCGGGCCATCCGAACCCATGGTCAAAACGTGTCAGACAAAGCCATATCAGGGCTATCATGGGGTATGACGCACGAAGAACATTCGTTTCACACGAGGACAAAATGATACATGTCGCCACGTTGCTGACAAAAACCGTTGGAACAGGGCTGCCAGCACTGTTGGTGTCACTGGCATAGCCCATCACATGCGTAAGAACGTAACGGCAGCGTCGGGTAGCGCTAGGAAACAGCAATCTTCGAAGATAACGTGATGCCAGACGCAGAATGCTTCGCTTTCGAATGACGGTCAACGTCTCTCGGGTTTGGAGGTTCAGCTCGACAATACGACCTGATGCGGTGTGTGTTGTCCCCGCCGCGCACTTTGTGGACACGACAAAGCTCGAATTCAAGGCCAAGTAGACAACCTGCAAGAAGCTCGTGATAGCTGACAGACTTGATACCGCTCCGATTTCCTGTTTCTTGAGGGCTCATGTTCGTATTGGCGACGAATGGCGCCATGGCTAGAGCAGACAGTCATGCCCGCGTTCGCCCAAGTCTTCGTGTATGCAAACATCTCAAAAGCGACAGGCTAACCAGCGGGATGGCTTCTTTCATCAGAAGCTGTGAGTCAGCTCCCAACCATCCGGCCATCGCACGTGGTCGAGAGATAAGGCAATGTTTCCGACTAACCGCCTGGGGTAACATTTCCCTGCAGGGTTGCGGCACAGTCCGCAGAGGGACGACCAAAAAAGGGCTCATTGCGACGCAGCAGGACCGTCGCCCTTCATTATTGAGCCGAAAACTCTCAAAAAGGCAATGCCAGGAGATTGCCAAGCGGCACAGACACGCCGCAACGTAGCACGCAAGACGGCGCAAACACTTTAGCATCCTACCTTGGGCCTCGACTCTCCTGTATAAGCAATCAATAATAAGCAGTCCCGGACTAGCATTCTCATTTGGGGGGTTTGCGCCTGGGACGAATCAATTGGCAGCGGCAAAACAATGGCAGAACGAGCCGACAACGGGCGCTGCGCCGCAGTTGCTTGCGAGGATGATGGCGCACTCGGCCACACAATCCTCTGTCGCGGCCGGAGAATATGTCAGGAGATGGAGCGAACGATTTACGTATTACGCCGTGGAACACCTTTGAAGCTCCCCAAACCGCGCCGCAATGAACTCCTCAGAGGTCTCCACTAAGCGCACGACAGACACTCGAGGAGTCGCGTCAGCCGTTAGTGGTTCGGCGACAGACTTGAGTCGTCGAGGAGAATATTTCCCACCTCCCGTAAAAGCCACTGACCCGCCCCGCCTCCTGCCGTCCTGCTGAGTAAGACCCACGTCACGTCCTTTTGGGCGGCCGATAGCGTCTACTCTACTGGCGGGTGGAGGCTCTTTCGGATTCGAAGCGAAGCCAGTGTGGATATCTCGGACCATAGCTCGCAGTAGCTCGAAAGATCTCGGCGGTTCTCTGTCTAGGCAGCAATGGGGTAGAGAACCATGTGGCAATCGTAATCAAGAGAAGAAGAGAAGAAGAAAAAGAAAGAAGGGAAAAAAAAAAACCACATGGAGAACATGGAGAGAGAGCCGCAAAGATTTTGGGCAAGACATTTCGTTTTTCCCGTGGTACCGAAGGATATTTCCGGTTGGTAGCGGGACGGATGGGAAGGAATGTGGTTTAAAGTGAGGTCGGAGCGTTCCCGGAGGTTTAGGTCCCAGAACTCCCGAAATGACGGACCAATATTTTTGGCCACTATTTCGGGTATTGGTCCCTTGTTGAACAAATATTGTTCAAAAGTGTTAATTGCGATATTACAGCGGCAATAGTTGGGCCGCCGCATCTGCACAAACCATGTAAGCCCACGGACCCGACTGGAAGGTACGGTGAAGATATTCCTGGGAGCCGGATGTCAAAATTTCGTTGGGTCAGCCACATTTTACTAAGCCCACGGCCATCGAGATCGTCACATCGCTCCAGCACACGGGCACCGCGGGGCTCCTTGGGCCCTTGGCGGGGAAGCTTGACAGATCTCTGGTTCCCGATGCTCAGGAGAACAAAGGGATACCCGCCCGCCCGACAAAGGAACAGGAAGCCGTTGAAAAGTAAAAAAAAAAAAAAAAAAAAAAAAAGGGGGAATAGGGGAAACTTATGGGCACCCGTCGAAAGCAATTTTTTTACCCCTTCTTTACTCTTGACTGATCAATCTGCTCTGCGACTTCGCCTACGCGGATGCGAGGGTTGATCTGTTCCAGATTGATCGTGGTCCGTCTCGAGGTTTCGTACCCGACATGGGCACGAAGACGCAGCTCCAGTGTTTCCTGAATCTGGAGGCTGGGAGGTGGTCCGCAACCCACCGGCTGGGGGTAGGGGGCGTGGATGGGGTTGCACAAGGTCTCGATTTCATTCAGAACAATGCCTCGGCGGTCAGCCAGCTGCATTGAGCAACAGAGACATGGTGATGGGCATGGGCTGGGCACTCTATCATCAAAAGAAACGCCACGGAGCCTGGGGGGGGATGGAAAACACGAGATGGGCACTAGGAACTTAGCCACAGGGTCGCACAAACTACTGAACCCAAAAAGTTGGCACAGCGAGTGAGAGAGCGAGAGATGCGCAGTAGACGGGCCAATGCAAGATGCCTCCATTCACAGAGAAGGGTTCCCTGTGTTCTGTCACCGATAGCAGAGGTATTTATAGCTACGATCATCACAGGGGCCACGGATCGGGGCTGGTGCCTACCTACGTGTGCATACATAGTACATAGGTAGGGAGTAGGTACCGTCGCTGGCGTCTTTGGCCTCGGGCATTTGATGACGAGACGGACGCGTGCCGTTGGTGAAGAGATGGCAGATGGCCACCTAGAGTCGAGAAGGGAGGCTGTGAAGCGAAGCTGGTCTTCCCGGAGAGGACGGGAACAGGTGCTTTAATCGGGCTCATTTTGACCACTCTGGGGGCTCATGCTTTTCCCGTTCGGGTTGGCCGGAATGCGAGAGGTCGCCGGGAGTTGACCAATGGCGGTTGGCCGTTCAGGGGCTCTTTTCCACATTGGGGCGGTGAGTGGGGGTCGGCGGACATGCCGATATGCCGATATTCTTCTACCATGTATAACGATCAGATCATAAGGGCGGGTTGCAGGAAGCGGGCGAATGGCATACGGACGGGCGAGGGACAGACAAAAGGAAAAATGAAATAAAACAAAAATCGAAAGTTGTGTGTGGCCGCCATCATAAAGAGCCGGCCATGTGCTTGCAAGTCAGTCTTGCATAGTTGGATATGGTTTGACAGTTTGATGACGGACGGGCGTCTGTATATGCAGGCTGGTGGCTGTGTGTGTGTGTGTGTATGCAGCTTGTTAGTGCACGCAAAAAAAGCCGCTCCACCACGGTCCGTATTTCTTTCCCAGCCGCGTCATGCTAACCCTGGATAGGGGGTGACTGAACAAGCTTCCGGCCAGCCTGGTGGGATTCATCACGAGCACGATAGGTACAGGTAGCCCTCTCTGTGGCCGGCTAACGAGACCTCCTGATTCTCCACCATGCAGCCAACGTAACTCGGCGATTGGATGAACGGGGGGGGGGGGCTCACGCAAGATTCGGGGCCGGCAAACCTCTTTCTCTCTCTCTCTCTCTCTCTCTCTCCCCCCCAGCCGGGCCCAGCAAGCCGCCTCGTTGTTTGAGTTTCAGCTTGCAAGGACTGCACACTTCCCGCGAGTGTCCGCCGCCCGCTGCCCGCCGCCTAGCTCTGCTCTGTTGGGACGGAATACGAACATCAGACGAGGGCAGGAACAGTATGGACGCCAGCCGTTTGATTCTCCCATGCACCATCCCGCAACCTCTGTGCACTGAAAGGCGCCCGGCTCATTTGCGCACTAGAGCTTAACCGCGCTGTCATCCAAACTCAGAGGGTACTGCCCCTCGGAGCGTTTAATGACCCCTCTTTGGGGGACGTTTCCCAGGCAGCAGCGGCCAAGCGAGACGGGTATGCGTGATTCAGGTACGGCTACGGTGATATCTATGTGATGGTGACAATGGCATGCTTTGGGAAGTTGGAAGGGTGGGAAAAGGAAGGTGACTGATAACCAACCGTTGCGTCGTTTTTCCTCATCTCTCTCTCACTCTCTGCCGTTGCGTTGCAGTAGGAGCAAGCCACAAGTTACACCGTTTCGCCACCACATGCATTGCAAGCTCTGCCAGGCTAAGCCCATTACGTGACGTCAAACCCATGCCATGTCCACCTTTTCTTCCGTCGACAATCGACAGGGCCGGCAGGGCCAGCAAGGCCAGCAAGGCCAGCGAGGAGTGGGAGGATTCTTTGGGTGTCCACAATCACGCTCAGTCCTCAGTCCGCCGCCCATCCCAGCGGCCGGGTGTGTTGCGGGCCCGTCTCCTGACTCGCTTGGCAGCACACCCTCCTTATCGCACGCAGTCTTCCCGAAAATTCTTTTTTACGGACGTGCATGCATGAAAGACATGAAGAGGAAGCAAAGCAAAAGAAAAAAGAAAAAAAAAAGAAGAAAAAGAAGGGGTCCATCTGACCTCTGTACTTACGATACCTAGAGAACCCAAAACCACACGCTACTTGCTATGCTTACACGAGAAGATATGCAATGCAATGCATCGATTGCCCTCGGCCTCCCCAAACGGCATGCAGTAGCCGCTCCAGGCCTTCTTCTTGTCGTGTGCGTTGGCGCCCAGCGAGTCTGCTTCGTTGAAGCTACTGAAGCTTTCCTCGGCGGCTCAGGGTTTGCCTGACCACCACAAGTCGAGTGATCCCGGCAGGATTCTGGGATCAATTGGGTTCCCGGGAAAACAGCCCCCATGTCCAAAGCCAGCACTCTGCAAAGAAAACCGGCCACTCTGGTGAAGTCTGACTTTTTTTCCCTCTGCGCGGCTCCACCCGCTGATCCGTGTTTTGTTCCTCTACTCATCCCGGGCGCTGCGGAAAAGGTAGTCGGTTGATGCTTGACATACCATGTACTCTACGTATGTACCGGTATGTACGCGCGAAAGGGGGACACCGCCGCCGCTGTCGTCCGAACTGTGGACGACTCCGACGTGGGACAAAGGACCCCCAACTTCCATCCTCGAAAATCCCGACCGGGAAGATCTGCCTTGTTGGCCAGCCCACCCCGTGGTGAACCGGGTCCATGGCCTGTGAGGATATTCATAGTGTCCAATCGGCCACCCTCCGCAACCCTGCCCGGGAAGCCGAAGACACCACCGAGAGGTCACCGCTATGATGCAGACATGAGTAAACCTCGAGCTCGTATCCTAGAATGGCAGTCTCCGCAGGCGACCGGGCATGACGGCTCTCTGATGTCCCTACTTTTCGTGAGGCGATGCTGGGCATACGGGCGGGTCTGACTATGTCTCCATGTATCCATCCATCCTGCCACCACCCCTTACCACACACACACCACACAACACGCGCGCACACACTCACCAGCCGAGAGAGAGAGAGAGAGAGAGAGCATGGGAGGCCGGAGCAAGCAGACCAGCAAAGCGCTGTGCTGTTTTCAAGGATTTCCCTCTCCATAGTAAAGCCCATCTATCCCCGTAGACCTTTCCCCCCCATCTCTGACGTACGTCGCTTCTGGATTCCTGCCTAGCTCTCGTTCTTGCTTGTGTGTATTTTGTGGGAAAGGGAACATCTGTACGATCGCTCAATCATCTTTCCCATCTCGTCTCTCGTTCAAACCACAAACTGGCTTCACTCGCTTCCGCCGGTTCATGACTGCTTTTACCTCGCACTTACTCTAGTTATCACTTTTCTGATAGTATTGTTTTTACCTGGCGTCATTTGCTTGAAATCAGCCAACAGCGCCTACCCACTCTCGCTTTGAGGACGCACTTGGGCGTCCTCTCCCATCACAACCGTCCATCATGTGGTTCGGGCAACTGAAGGCGCTTCTGCTACTGGGCTTCCTGTCCCATAATGTTAATGGCCTCAAGTACGACGAGCAATATGTCGACTACAACCTCAACACAAACAAGGATGCGACAGATCCTATATTTTACAATGGAACATGGGAGAATCACGAGCACTTCCCATCGCCCAAGAACTGGCGGTTCCCGTTCTACACGATTATGCTCGACAGATTTGTAAATGGCAACCCGGCCAACGACAACGCCAACGGAACCGTACTCGAGCAGGATATCACGGGCACACAGCTGCGATGGGGCGGTGACATCGCCGGTCTCGTCGACACGTTGGATTACCTGCAGGGCATGGGCATCAAGGGAATCTACTTTGGAGGATCGATGCTCATCAACGCGCCATGGAACTACGACTCTTACTCGCCTTTGGACCACACGCTGTTGGATATGCACTTTGGCAACATTACGGAATGGAGAGCAGCCATCGAGGAGATTCACAGGCGCGACATGGTAAGTCTGGAGAGAAGCAGACGGGGCCTTCCCAAGAACGTGCGCGGCTGACCTACCGACTAGTACATCCTCTTCGACAACACGATGGCCACCTTGGGTGACTTGATCGGCTACAAGGACTACCTCAACACCTCGGCGCCGTTCGAGCCTCATGAGATGGAGGTCGTCTACAAGTCTGACAGGCACTATCTCGACTGGACGTTCCCGACCAAGTACAACGAGACTTGCGAACATTTCCCCCGTCTCTACCTCGAAGAGGGTCGGGAAGTTCCTCAGGATGTTTACGACATGTTCGGAGGCTGCTATGATGGTGACTTTGACCAGGTATGGGCTTACCCCAGCGATGTCGACGTTCAATGGCAGGATCGCGGCTAACCAAACCGTGATTGCAGTTTGGTGACACTGAGGCTTTCGGCGTCTACCCCGATTACCGACGTCAGTTGACAAAGTTCGCCTCCGTCCAAGACAGACTGAGAGAATGGGTCCCCGCTGTTAACCAGAAGCTTGCGCACTTCTCTTGCATGATGATCCGGTCGCTGGATATCGACGGTTTCCGATTCGATAAGGCGCTACAGGTCACGGTCGACGCTCAGGGTGACTTCTCCAAGAAGATCCGCGAGTGCGCTCGCGACGTGGGCAAGGACAACTTCTTTCTGCCAGGTGAGATCACAGGTGGTAACACCATGGGCACCATCTACATCGGCCGCGGACGCCTCCCCGAGCAGTGGTTCAAGGACATCAACACCGCCTTCAACACCACGAACGCGAGCTCCCAGGGCCAGGATATCTTTATCCGCAACGAGGGTCACCAGGCCTTGGATTCCGCCGCTTTCCACTACTCCTTCTACCGTTTCCTGGTCATCTTCTTGGGTATGGACGGTACGGGTGTGGCTGGTTACGATGTGCCCAGTAACTTTGTCGAGGCGTGGAACGAGGTCCTGCGGTCCAACGACATGATCAACGCCAACACCGGCGAGGTCGACCCCCGCCACATGTTCGGAGCCATGAACCAGGACACCTTCCGCTGGCCCGCCATCGAAGTCGGCCACGAGCGCAGTCTGATGGGCCTGTTCATCACCACTCTTCACTTGCCCGGCATTCCCATGCTCACGTGGGGAGAGGAGCAGGCCTTCTACGTCCTCGACAACACGGCGCAGAACTACATGTTCGGTCGTCAACCTCTCGCCTCTGCGCCCGCTTGGCAACAGCACGGATGCTATTCCATGCCTGCGACGCTTTACTACCAGATGCCCCTGTTAAAGGCGCGTGAGGGATGTCGTGACGACACTGTCTCTTGGGATCACCGCGACCCCAGTCATCCCATCAGGAACATTCTCAAGCACATGTACCATCTGAGAGAGGTATACCCCGTTCTCACCGATGGCATGTGGCTGGAGCAGCTGTCGAACAACACGGAGGATCTGTACTACCCCGGTAACTCCGGAATGGCCACCACCACCGGTCTTTTCAGCGTCATGCGCTACCAGCTCGGTGTCCAGAATCTCGGCGAGGACCTCGTTCCGGTTTGGTTCTTGTACCACAACCGCAACGTTACCCACACCTACACCGTTGACTGCAGCAAGAAGGAGGAAGCCATCATCTCTCCCTTTGAGTCCGGGACCACCGTGAAGAACCTCTTCTTCCCTCACCAGGAGACGGTGCTTGTGAACTCGACCGTGGAGCTCCCGTACGCCAACAACAAGGGCTTCAACGGTTGCTTCAAGAACATCACCTTGGCCCCCTTCGAATTCCGTGCCTACGTCCCCAAGGCCGACTTCAAGAACCCTCCCGTCGCCATCACCAAGTTCGTCCCCGGCCACGACTCCCGCATCGAGTCCGCCGAACCCTCCAACACCGTCCCCATTGAGTTCCAGACCTCCGTCAAGATGGACTGTGACACGTTCAAGGACGCCGTCAGCTTCAAGTCTCACACCGACGACAACAGCGTCCCCTCCATCGACGAGAGCTCCATCAAGTGCGAGGACATTTCCGAGACCATCTCCAACTGGACGGCTGCCATGGCCTCCTCTTTCTCCTGGAAGGCCAATCTGGTTAACGTCAAGCACGGCGTGCACCAGATCATTGTCACGAACGCGACGGTGTTTGGCAGCAACTCGACGCTCGGGGCCACCGACAAGTTCCTCTTCCGCATCGGTGCTCAGGACAACGGCATCGTGTTCCCCCACACAGCCAACTACTCCACGAGTCTCCTGAGCAAGGACGACAACGGCAACCTCAAGATCAAGCACACCTCTGCTGGAGCCAGCATGTTCCGCTACTCGACCAACTTCGAGTCCTCTTGGAGCGACTGGGCCCCCTACGAGACCGAGACCAAGGTCGTCAAGCAACAGTGGAACGGCACCAAGGAGCAGGAATGGAAGGGCGAGCACGTCGTCGTCCAGTACTACAGCAAGCTCCTCGGATCCAGCGCGTACAAAGTGCACGCTGACCTCGACTACGACACCCCGCGCCGAATCCCCCACATGTTCGCCGTTGGCAAGTTCAACCAGTTCGGCTACGACAGCGGCTTGACCAAGGCTCTGAAGCACGAGAGCGAGTCGCAGTGGTCGTGGCACTACATGGATGACTGGCCCAACTACTTCCAGTTCAGCATCTGGGGCATGAACCCCGACAAGTTGCCCGATCAGTCGTTTGTCTACGGTGACGTCGACGGCGATAACGTCGTCGAGCGTCTGCCTCCCTCGTCGCTGTTCGAGAACGCCGTCAACATCACGTCCGCTCCTCCTACACCATACCTGGCCTTCCGCGTCGTTTTGAACGATGCCACCCTGCAGTACCAGCTCATCCCCCAGGGTAACATGTGGGTCCAGTTCATGCTCTGGCTTCTGCTGTTCATCGTGCCCGTCCTCACCGGCCTCGCCGCCGTGCAGGCCTTCAAGCGCTCCTTCTACAAGGTCAAGTTCAACGAGCACGGTGCCCACGAGACCTCCAAGTTCGGCATGATGGTTCAGAAGACCCGCAACGTCTTCATGGGCGCCGCTGGCGCCATCCCCCTCAAGATGCGCAGCTCGACCGACCTCGTCTCCGCCGCCGCCGCCGCAACTGCCAACAACAAGCGCCGCAGAGTCCTTATCGCGACCATGGAGTACAACATTGACGACTGGAACATCAAGATCAAGATTGGTGGTTTGGGTGTCATGGCCCAGCTGATGGGAAAGGCACTCAAGCACCAGGACCTCGTCTGGGTTGTGCCCTGCGTCGGTGATGTCGAATACCCCTGGACAACCCGGCACCGAGCATGTACGTCAAGATCATGGACCAAGAGTACGAGATCAGGGTTCAGTACCACATTGTGGACAACATCACCTACGTTTTGCTCGACGCGCCCGTCTTCAGGAAGCAGACCAAGTCTGAGCCCTACCCCCCGCGTATGGACGACTTGGAGAGTGCCATTTACTACTCTGCATGGTAAGTTTGATCGCAGCACTCGAGTTTCGGGACCTCTTACTGACCGCCCCAACAGGAACCAATGTATCGCCGAGACTTGCAACCGTTTCCCCATCGACCTGTACCACATCAACGATTACCACGGTGCCATCGCGCCGCTGTATCTGCTCCCCAAGACTATTCCGGTTGCTCTGTCTCTCCACAACGCCGAGTTCCAGGGTCTCTGGCCCATGCGTACGCCCGAGGAGAGCAAGGAAGTCTGCAAGGCATACAACCTGGACATTGATATCGTCAAGAAGTACGTCCAGTACGGCTCAGGTAAGAATCTCCCGCAATGTACCATCCCCGACGTGAGTTCTGACAAATGGCAGTCTTTAACCTGCTCCACGCTGGCGCCAGTTACCTCCGTGTCCACCAGAACGGATTCGGTGCCGTCGGTGTCTCCCGCAAGTATGGTGATCGTTCGTTCGCTCGTTACCCCATTTTCTGGGGTCTGTCCAAGGTCGGCCAGCTGCCGAACCCCGATCCTACTGATACCGCCGACTGGGACAAGAACGACTTCATGAACCAGCCCAAGATCGAGGTCGACCCCGCCTACGAGGCCGCCCGTGGTGACCTGAGAAGGCAGGCCCAGGAGTGGGCCGGTCTCAACGTTGATCCCGATGCCGAGCTGTTCGTCTTCGTCGGACGTTGGTCTCTGCAGAAGGGCGTATGTAACCCCCTTTGTGATTGCCTGAAAAGATGACGGGAACTAACTCGCAAATAGGTGGATCTTATTGCTGATATCTTCCCTTGGGTCCTGGACAACTACCCCAAGGCCCAGCTGATCACCATCGGACCCATGATTGATCTCTACGGACGCTTCGCCGCTCTCAAGCTCGCCAAGCTCATGGAACTCTACCCCGGCCGCGTGTTCTCCAAGCCCGAGTTCACTGCTCTCCCGCCTTACATCTTCAGCGGTGCCGAGTTTGCCTTGATTCCCTCCAGAGACGAGCCTTTCGGTTTGGTCGCTGTCGAGTTCGGTAGAAAGGGAGCTTTGGGTGTCGGTGCTCGCGTCGGTGGTCTCGGTCAAATGCCCGGATGGTGGTACACGGTTGAATCGACCAAGGCTGTAAGTTTCTTCTCCTATCTCGGTTGATTTAGCATTACTGACCCTCCCGTAGGCCCATCTTACCAAGCAGTTCAAGCACGCCATCAAGGACGCTCTCGAGACGGACACCAAGACCAGAGCCATGATGCGCGCCTGGTCCGCCAAGCAGCGTTTCCCCGTTGCCGAATGGCTCGAAAAGCTCGAGAAGCTCCAGGGTGGTGTCATCAAGGCACACGCGAAATACGGTAAGAAGGGCGTCAAGAAGGGCAATGTCCTCGTCAAGCACAGCCGCGCCAGCTCCATTGCCGACCCTCTCCGCAACGACGTTGAGCTCGTTGACCGCTCTCCCGCGTGGATGCGCCAGGTGTCCGACTACGACGACGACGCAACCACCCTCCACACCGGTCGCAACACTTCCGGCATGCAGACTCCCATGATGTACAACAGCACCCCTGGCTCGCCCTCCATGTCCCCTTCACCTGCCTATGTCGACTCGCCTTACAGCTCCCGCGCGGCCTCGCCGGGACCGTTTGGTCGTGACGTCCAGCATGGCCGCAATATCTCTGGAAACGAGTTCAGCCACGGCCGCAATTTCTCCGGACACGAAGGTCATGGCCGCAACTTCTCGCTCCCGGGACCTCATGGGCAGCAACAGCATGGCGATCAGACGCACAGCCGCAACGTTTCTGGTTTCTCCATGGCCGATACCCTGCCGCTTCCGCCTCCGGTCACTGGCCTGGGCATGCAGCAGGACAACTCGTCGCGTGCTTCCATGCTTAGTGTGGAGGACGTTGTCGGCGACAGACACGACTACAAGCTGCAGCAGGTTGACCCCTTCTTCACTGACTCCAAGGGCGAGTTCTACCAGCACTTTGAGGAGAGACTCAAGAGCCTCAACGCCGGCAACTCCATCTCCGATCTTTGCATTGAGGACTACCTCATCAAGAGTGAAAAGGAGTGGTTCGACATGTACCTTGACGCCAGGCTGGGTCGCTCCGCCTCTCCCTCGTCGCCGAGAGGCGCCTCTAGATCGCGTCCTTCCTCACCCAACGGTTCGAGACTGAGCTTGGGCATGTTCAAGAACAGGTCGTCTTCTAAGCTGAGCTTGCCTCTCGAGCGCGGCCGCGGCAGACGCTCCGGTCTGAACAACAGCATGGCCGCCTCTGATAACAACGCCAACGGCTACAACGACCAGTCGCCCCCCGACTCCCCAGGCTCCTACAACGCGCAGTTCGATCTCCCCGAAGATTACATCCCTCCCACCGGTGTGAAGAAGTACCTCCAGTACCGTCTCGGTGACTGGCCCGTCTACGCGATGCTTCTGGCACTGAACCAGGTCATCGCCACCAACTCGTACCAGGTAACCCTTCTCACCGGTGAAGTCGGCCAGACCGCTTCCAAGCTCTACATCATCGCCACCATCTACCTCTGCTCGTCCGTCGTGTGGTACATCATGTCGCGTACCATGCCTCTCCTCTACCCGCTCTCCATCCCCTACATCGTCTACGGCATGGCCTTCCTGATCCTCGGCTTCTCTCCTTTTGCCTCCGACGACAACACCCAGGTCTGGCTCCAGAACGCCGCCACGGGTCTCTACGCATTCGCATCCTCTTCCGGATCGTTGGCCTTCGCCTTCAACTTTGGTACCGACGGTGGCTCTACCGTTCCCAAGTGGATCCAGCGTCTCGCCATCATCCAGGGCCTCACCCAGCTCTACACCCTCGGCCTTTGGGCGTGGGGTAGCTTGGTCTCCGATGCCCAGTCCAACAGCTTGCCCAAGCCCACCCTCGCCGGCTCGCCCTACCTTCTCGCTATCTGCGCGCCTGTTGCCCTCCTTCTCTGGGGCGTCGGTACCGTCCTTTACCTCGGCCTCCCCGACTTCTACCGCGAAATGCCCGGTCCCATTCCCCAGCTCTGGCTGACGCTCCTCAAGCGTAAGACCATCGCCTGGTACCTCATGGCCGTCTGCATCCAGAACTACTTCCTCAGCACGCTCTTTGGACGAAACTGGTTCTTCCTCTTCTCGTCCCAGCACGTGCCCGTCTGGAGCATGGTCGTCCTGGCCCTATTCTTCTTCATCATCGTCTGGGCTCTGGTCCTCTGGGGCCTGGCCAAGGCCAGCGAGAGCCACCCGTGGCTGTTCCCCATGTTCGCCGTCGGTCTCGGTGCCCCGCGCTGGGCCCAGATCTGGTGGGGTACCTCGCGGATCGGTGTCTACATGCCGTGGGCCGGAAGCGTCGTCGCCGGCGCCGTGCTCAGCCGTATCCTCTGGCTGTGGCTCGGCGTTCTCGACGGTCTCCAGGGTGCGGGCATCGGCATGATTCTCATGCTGACGCTGACTCGTGTCCACGTGGCCGCCGCCTGCGTCGGGGCTCAGGTCCTGGGTTCCATTTTCACCATGCTCGCACGCGCCACGGCGCCCAACAACGTCGGTCCCTCGACCGTCTTCCCTGACATCAGTGAAGGCCTCAATGTGGCCTTTGCCAACGCCTGGTTCTGGGTTGTTTTGTTACTCAACCTGTTCATTTGCATCGGTTACTTCAAGTTCTTTAGAAAGGAGCAGGTTAGCAAGCCTTAAGACAAAGGTTATGAATTGTTTTTTCCCGGTTATATGAGGATAGATTTTTCTTTATTTTTTCTTGAGTAGATACGAACCTCAGTAATGACCATCCAACTATTATGTTAATAGAGTTAACGACTTTGATCAATGACTAGTCATGCTTAAATCAGGCGGGGGGCTACCTGACATCCTGTGATGATCTTTCTCCACTTCCAATCTACTGTAAGAGCGCATAGGCCTCACCGGCATCCTGGCTTATCACTTGGCCAAGTTTGAACAGGGGGTGCAGATTGAGGCTTGAGGAACGCCCGCCACAACCACGAAAACTAGAAAGTGCTGATTCCGTAACTTATGAGCTGGAGATGCATCTGGGGGCGTCAGTCATCGGCGCAAACGACGAGCTTGTCCCCAATGCGGGGAAAACATCTGAGCGACAACAGAGTGGTTAACAGGACGTGCTTTACATCTGTCGATTGCCGAAAGACCCAGCCCGTCCAATACGGGCAAACCGGAGAAGCGATCAACACCACAGTCCCCGTGTAAATATACCTAAAGACATATAGAGTCATGCAAGCCCACAGCTTTTTTATTGCAATCTAAAGCCGCTCAGGTGACGGCGACCCAGCGAAACCACTGACTCGTTCCTAGACATCGCTGAAATTTATAATGCGACCATTTCTCCTTGACTATCGTTCAACTGCCTAGAGCGACACGTTACCTGGTTTTCTACGTCGTTTCTCCTCCACAAGAGCTCGACCTTGGACAATAAGATGAAGCTTTCAATAATTTACACCACTCTGGCGCTTGCCGTTATCTCAGCAGAAGCATGTGCCAAGTATAAGCACTGCTGGTAAGCATTGGTTCCTCGTCGATCTACCGACGGCAGTAGTTGACAAGTCCAGGTGTGAGAGAAACAACCTTGCCTGGGACGAAGACACAAAAAAAGCTTGCATTGATCCCGGGAAAGTCGGATACTACGGCCAGAACTTCATGGAGTGCTATCGATACAAGGCGGCGTTCCCAGCGTTCCTCGGTTCCAAGGCCATTGACAACTGTGATTGGAGAAACGTAGGTTATGCACCAATTGACGTCAAGACAACTGGGACATGATGGCTAACGGTTGCAGAAATGTATCTCTGTTGGTGCCAACACGGGCTACTGCCGTGACAAGATCTAGGTTAATAAGGAGTTGGAAATGAATTGATTTTAAAATGGTTGCTTGAATGTGGCGTAGCCCCTGTGCCTGACTCCTTCACACCCGTGATACTGGTTCCATACGTCCGCCCTAGTGTCTTTGGACTGAAGGTACTTGAAATTGGGGGAAGAAGAAGCAGAGGCGGTCAAGCATCGGGAAATAAGTTGGTGGCGGTTGGTGGAGGCTTGCTACCTGCTGAAGGCGAGGAACCCGATGCTTCACTTCTCGAAATTTTGCGTTTCGGCTTCCAAGTACCGGAACAGCACCCCTCGCTATATCTGACGTATTTCGGATAGTTCAACAAGGCTCCAGGTTGTGGAGACTCCTCAGGGACTGGTGGTTTTGCCAGTGCCCAAAGCATTGGGATAGGGTAGTTGTTGATACCTCAACCACAATTGACCATTCACACAAAAGTCTTTGGCGCCTTCCGATTCAGACCTCAGCGTTGCCCAGAGCATATCTCAGCTCATATAGGGAGGCCTCTCGTTCTCGTGAGTCAGAATCACGAATATTTGTTGTGTCTAAAGCAGCCCTAGACTTTGTATCAAGTCCACGAGGACTCTAGGCCGGGTCAGCGTGCCGGCTTCAGAAATCGAGTCAACATTGTGTTTTTTGACATGACTGCTTCCGGGTCTCGTTCCATATTACTCAGAACTTGAGGTAACCGACACTCTGCAGCTAGGAGTGTAGAAGCTTGTTCTGGTCCGTGATCTACTGTCAGAACGGAAAGAGGCGATACGACGATGAATCGGCGTGGACGTTGAGTATACATTCCTATCCCTGTATCATTCTCGAGTGGGCAACTGGTCGTCATTCGACCAGACCACTTGTAACTACGCAACAGGCGGGGGAGGGGAGCACACGCTCCCTGATCATATACATCATCAAATATCGACCCTGAAATCCCTCCGTAGTAGGCGTGGCCCACCACCGGACCCCACGCCTCACTTCAACAGATGCCCCTCGGAGGAAGCCCCCTCTGGCCGTTTCCAGTGCACGGGCACGCCGCCCCAGCTCTCCTCGCTGTACTTCTCCTGCACCTTTTGGCACGTCCGCAGCCCCCACTCGGTGACGCCGACCATGGCGCACGTCTCAAACATGAAGGCGCAGCTGCCGGCGCCGACCTTGGCCGGCTTCAGCTCGGCGTTCCGCGCGCCCTCGCCGCTCTCGGCGTCGGGGCCGTGGCCGCTCATGGTGTTGTGCAGGCTCGCGCCGCCCGGCACGAAGCCGCCGGAACCGCCGCGTTTCGCGTCGTAGCCGCCCGTAATCAGCCCCATGAACTCGGACATGGTGTTGCGGTGGTAGTACGGCGGGCGGAAGGTGTCCTCGGCCACGAGCCAGCGCGGGGGGAAGATGACAAAGTCGGCGATGGCGGTGCCCGGCACGCCCGAGGGCGCCGAGAGGACGGTGAAGATGGACGGGTCCGGGTGGTCGTAGGAGATTGTGCCAATGGTGTTGAAGCGGCCGAGGTCGTACTTGTAGGGGTAGTAGTTGCCGTGCCACGCGACGACGTCGAAGGGGGTGTGCGCCTGCCTCGTCACAAAGTAGTCGTTGTTGAACTTGACCGTCACGGTGTAGCTGCTGGCGCCCTCTTGGGCCGTCGCGCCAAAGTCCTCGCTGAAGCACGCCACGGGCGCCTGGAAGTCGCGCGCGTTGGCGAGGCCGTTTGTGCCGATGGGCCCCAGCTCGGGGAGGAGGAAGTGGCCCTGGTACAGCTCGAGCGCGTAGCCCCGCGCCGGGCCCGACGGGAGGTGGACCTGGTACTTGATGCCGCGGGGGATGACGGCGATCTCGAGCGGGCGGACGAGGAGCCACCCGAGCTCTGTGCGGATGTCGAGCGGGCCCTCCTGCGGGACGATGAGCAGGTCGCCGTCGGCGGAGTAGAAGGCCGACTTGTCGTCCATGCTCTTGCCCGCCGCGTAGACGTACATGCCGATCCCTTGCTTCAGCGTCGGGTCGCCCGCGCCGGCGATGAGGCGCATGCCGGCGACAAAGTCCCAGTTCTTGGACTCATCGTGGTCAAAGGGGTCCCAGCGCAGCTGGTTGGGGATGTATTGCAGCTTGGACGGCTGGGCTTTCGTCTCGGGCGACGGCGCTTCGGTCGCCGTGTAGGGCGGGTGGGCGCACGAGGGGAGGATACGGTAGAGCCAGGCCTGTTTGTTCTCGTGGCGGGGCGTGGTGAAGGCGGTGCCGGAGAGCTTCTCGGCGTAAAGCCCGTGGGGGGCCTTTTGCGGGGCGTTTTGGCCGATGGGGAGGGACCCGGGGACGGCTTCGGATCTGGGGGTGGGGGGAGAGAGGTTAGCGTCTAATGCTCAATTGTCAAGATCGATGGGATGTGGATGGGTTCGGGGCGTCAGGAGACGCAGGACGGCGGAGTTGCACGTACTCGAGATGGGAGTCGAAGCCGACCTGGTAGCGGTACTTCTCCTGGAAGTCGAAGCTTGTGACGGGCATTGTTACGGCGGGAGGAGGTCCTCAAGCTTGCTTCAGGTGGTCTGCTTGATGGCCGGTGGATGGAGATGGGATCAATCGGGTCGGGACAAAACGCAGGAGACGCAGCCTCCTATATCCCTCTGTCCTCGGACCGTTCCGTATGACGTTGGGTATAATGTGCATCGAGTCCTCACCTCCCAAAGCCGAACCAGCCGTTTTGGCTGTAACCGTGATTCCAGTTCCGCGGTCGACGTTGTACTGCAGTCGCCTGGAAGCGGTGTCTGCCGAAGGTAACCGGGCGCGGTATTCGTTCCTAGGCCTCTAAATTCCGATTTCCGAGTTGGAGACGTGAGGGGAACGCGCCCGGCAGAGGCTTACTCAGGTTCCTGAGAAAGCCGAGCGTCGTTCCGTCAAGGTCCGGCCAACGACGGCAGGTTGCGTTTCATAGGAGACTCATATGTTCAATCCTCATGTAGTAGTCTAAAAGCAAACCCTTCGTAGATGATATTTATGATTAAGTGTCTAGGTAGAGCTGCCCCTCACTGTTCTTGGATGAGATCTGTCCAGAAGCGTTGGGATTTGCCAAGATGATGCCTTAACGATGGGAGACTAGAATCACTGCAAGAGTTGATAGAGTGGCATCTGATTACCCCGCCATTTGCATCGGAACAGAAGAGAGGGGTTCCCAGCTCGACTGACAAACGCAAACAGCAATGTGCTGCCAGTCTTTTCGAAGCCACGAGGGCCGATGAACAGCCTCTCGAGCTTCGCGAGCAACGCGTCTGTCATGCAGCATGCAAGTGGGCTTCTTGGTCGGAGGTATTCATAGATGAGCCCGCCCCGGCGCGTACGACCCTAGTTCCCCGGGTTGTGGGTCACGATGACTGCAGGAAAGCCGCAACGGACCGGACTCTTCCCCATCCATATCAACCCGTTTCGAACGACATGTCACTCCTGAATGAGATTGAACGCCATACGCAACGGTTGACGCAAATTGTGTATCACCATGGATGAAAATCACCCTCAGCTTGGAATCAGGTGCGGTAAAGTGACAAGTCAACGAGTCAATTGAGCCAAAGGCCAAGCTGTTACCACTATGGCCGTTCGCCAAGTCGCCCGCCGATGTCGATAACCCTCCTAGCTATACATCTCGAAGCATCGAGCTTCAGAGCAGAGATCAGAACCTGAGGTGCACCCATTGGCCTATATCTATCGCAATATCCCATTGCGCCAAGTCGCCATTACGAGCCAGAGCGAAGCAAGTTCTTAATCAGGAAGTATTGGACCAGATACGAAGGGATGCAAAGGGGTCTACTCTTCGCCCTCGGCTTTCTTGTTCTTCTTCTTCTTGCCGCCGCTGCCGCCGAATCCGGGACCTCCTGTTGCGGGTTGCTTCTGGAGGTGGACGACCAGCCGGGTCCAGCACTCTTCCTTGTCCCATTCGAAGCCTGCCAGGTACGGCTTGTCAAGCTCATCATCCGCCTGTTGGGGGGTCAGCACGGGCCACTGCTTGATGAAGACGGGGCTCTTACCCTCTTCTTGTACGCCTTGTGGATGGCATCCAGTGCGTCCTTTATTGTTACGCCCTTGAGGTTGCGTGCTGTTACTTCCATGCCGAGAGGGAAGTGCAGGTCAATCTTCTTGACTGGCGGCTTTGACAGGGGGAGCTTGAGGATGTCCTTGTCCTCTACTGTCGAGGACGAAGTGTTGATCTTCCTGCAAAGGGGTCAGCCATTGGCACGGCGGTAAAGACCCCAGCACACCCGAAGACGGAGAGCGTGCTGGCGTGGGCGACGGGACTTACCATCCTGTTCGTTGCGTTTCCGGTGCGAGCTCCAGCTCAATCTTTTGTTCTTCTGTTACAGGGCACCCGCTGTTAGTGATGGCCCGAGGCACCCGAGCAGTCGCTCAGCAAGTGCGGGGTCGTGGCGGAGACGTACCAAGGTCCTTGATGTTGTACACGCCGGGCGCGGCGGCGGAGGATTGACGGCGAGTCTTTTGCTCCTTGGGAGGGGACGAGGAGAGACCTCCGACGGCAGAGTCGACCTTGGTGAGCGGTTCCGTCATGTTGGCGATTGGTTGTAGTTTGTGTGATCTAGGTGATCAAAAGTTGGTGGATTGTCTGGTAAAAGTAACAGGTCAGCTACCGAAGCTCTCGTGCTAATGGACGGCGAGCTTCTCCGGTCCAGAGACGGGAACTCTCGTGTGCCAATGGATGGAAGAAAGGGAGGGCAGCTATTACCTGGTGATGAACAGGTGATGTTTGGTTGTGAGATGGATGGTCGGGGGAGTAGTGGGATGGAGAGGGGATTAAGAAGGGAAGAGGATGAGGGGGAGGGAGGAGGTAGATGGATGTCGATGCGGCCGGGCGCCTGACCTCGTGGAGCTGGTCTCAGGTAAGGAAAAGAGAGGGGTCGAGGAGGGTGAAAGGGGTCGGTCGAGTGCAGCGTGGGATGTATCTGATGTTCCTGCCGGTGGTATGAGGCGCGGGAGATACATGGCGATGTATTGAGGTACACCAAGGTACTGGATGAGGTGTGCAGTGCCATGCTGGGGAGGGGACAAGGTCGCGGACCCCAAACAGAGAAGGACGGACGAGCAGCGCAGGGCAGAGAAGCAAGCTCCCTGTCCATTGAGGGCGAGCTAGGTTAGATTGTCGATGCATTACGGTTTCGTCAGACCGGGCGGGGTAACTGCCCATCGATGGCGTCGCCAGACGATCGCGTGACTAGGAAGCTCATGAGATGCGATGGGCTGCGAGGGTGCGAGGCGAGCAGCGAGGCACGGGCGGCAGCTGACGGGTGGTCCGGGCTGGCAGAGGCAAGGGACGGCCCAGCATGGATAATGGATCGATCAGAACAAGGAGCCACTGCCACAGCCGACAGAGCAGCTCATGGTGGTCTGTCACTGGTCTGTCACTCCGGTTGGCTGATTGTCCGAAACGGGCGTGGCGCGGGGGCCCAAGGACCACCTCAGTGTTGAACCACGGTCCACTCGGGGGACTGGACAAGTGACACACGACACAGACCAGGCAGAATGGGAGGGAAGCATCTGGCGCCGGGAGCTGCTGGGTGATGCTGGCTGGCAGAGATGGATCGGTTTTAGTGCGGTCTCCGAAGTGGTACGTGTAGGAAAAGTCTGGGGTAAAAATCCGGGGAAGGGGCCAAACTGGACGGAAGCTGCTAGGTACTGCACCTGCAGTCTGACGCTTTAAAAAGGCGGCTGGGCCCACTCCTCCCGTCTCCTCATGTCCATTGGGAGCGATGGTGAGGCACCGACCTTCTTCGAGGTAGGTATGCATCGACCAGCGAGTGTGGATGGAAAGGCAGTGAATCTCGAGACATCGTCTAGACGATTCCTCATCTCGTAGGATGCTTCCACAGAGATCCCCAGCATCAGAAACAGGAACAGGAACTGGACGCATCGCAGCAATCAATCAATCAATGCTCGGCAGCGTTTCGCCGTTCCCACAGTGGGGATGCGGTGGCCGTTCAGTGGAACCACAAAACAGCCCATCCCTCACCTGATTCAACCCGCCAAACCCATCCAAACCAGACATCCATCCCACCCCGACGTTGCCGACAGCGAGACACGGCATACTGTATTGTACTGTGGGATGGTTTGCTGTTTTTCCAAACTGTGTACAGAGTAGTCCTGGTCAATAGCCGAGCTGGTGAGCTGACACTCCTCCCTCAGACCAGCGAATGCGGTGACGAAGACGGGCTGAAATGAAGTGAGGTGATTTGCCGGGCCATGTGAATAGACTTTGATCGACGACCCCCTTGGCGGATCGTTCATTGGACTGCACCGGTCTCAAGTCGCGTGAGTTTGCCTATCCAAGTTCTGTCACCCCTCTTTCTCCTCGGTGAACTCTGGTGGCACTGGTGTCAGTCACAGCTCACACCACCTTCCCGGCCCCCCTCTTCTTCCAGTCCATCACCGGACCTCGATATAAGCCATCTGAATCCCTACACGTCTCTCTCTCTCCCTTCTCAGCAGTTCCGCGTCGTTTCTTTTTATTGCTAGAGTCTGTCTACACACGACACCTCCATCCTCCAGTTTCCTGTTTGCTTGTGTTTGTTCACTTACCCCCTCAACCATTCTCTACTGCCCGGCCCATCATGGCCTGCATCCCATCGCTTGTCCGATATTGACGAAGTCGTCCCGAACTGCCCGTCCGTCCGTCCGACTGTCGACTGCAGCTAGGCGAAGCAGCGGCGGCAGCAGCATCATCCATAATGTCGCCACGGTCCCACATTCCCACGCCGGCTTAGTGTCTCGTCCACGTCTCGCTCGCATCGTCCACGCCTGCGTCCTCCCCTACGTCCACATCCACGTTGCTCCCGGCACTCCTCGTCTCCGCTTTCGCTTCCGCCCGTTACGTGAAGACCCCACGCCAGCCCGGTGATGCCCCGTCCGTCATGGCCTCCATGCCTCGAATCCATACGCTCCTCAATCCCACGCAGTTCCAGTACGCATCAACGTGAAATGGCTTATTGGTAGTATTCCGTTGCAAGGCTCGCCCATGACTGTGACGATTGACCACGGTGAGTGACTATGGGGATACTCTCTCCGCTAATGATTCAGTCGGATCGCCCTCCCGCCCCCAAGGCCAAACGCCAATCTCCCCAAAGCACGAATGCAATGTCTCCAATCTACGCTACGGCACCCACTGCGGATGATTCGGCCTGCTGCACCTCACTGCCCCCCCGTTCGTCGACCCTGACGCTCCCGGTTCCCCGATCTGCCTGAGTGATCACCTCAAACTGCCCTGATGGCGTTTCCCCGCATGACGAAGGTTCAGACAGCGTTGGAATGGGCTACCTGCGCAGCCTAAACCATCTGTACTATGGGTGAACACTCCATACCATCCATGCCCCGAGCCTGGCTAACAGCAAGTGGCAGAGCGAAGCAGAATCCCGTGTTGGCCTCGGCCTCCGATTTTAGATAGCGAAACGACCCTTTCGCTTCCCACGACGAAAGCAAGAGAACGGAACCCGTAGACGAATCAAGATTACGGAGAAGCCGGCTGGAGGGTTTGGATGGGCGGAATGAGGGGTTTGGGTTGAGACCTGGATGCTGTGAAGGTGTAAGGGGAGGATGGGAGCTTGGACTTGCAATGAAGCCTGAAGGGTTCACACAGTTGGATGGCACGGGCAGACGATCACTGAGCGGGGTTGTTGCTGCACTGCACTGCACTACGTACCTACAGGTACCTACCTAAAGAGCTTGGAAGGTGCAGGAGCTGAGGGAGCTTTCTTTCCCTGTACAGCACAGCACAGCACAACACAGCACCAGACATCACATGGTCAGTGCTCATTGTTTTGCTCCGTAGAGCCATCTTAGTCATCTGTTCCCCTTCCGTCATGTCGATCCCGTGTCATTGACCTTGCTGCCACTATTGCGCCTGCGTCCAGCTCTGCCATGGACGGAGCCCCCGCCCCGGAGGCGTTTGCTCGAGGCGAGGTGAACTTTGACCCCGGGAGCGACGTAGCTTCATCCAATCACCCTCTCCCTTGGCTGCCACCACAGGTCGCAACCACCCAATCGCACAACGTCTGTTTCCCGGCTCTGGAACTCCCACACCAAGATTCCGCGAGCGCCGTTCCATCTCATTCCGTTCCGCACGCCGACGGGAACTTACACTGTCATGTCCTTCGTCACCGTCGCGGCGGCAACTCTGCCCAGCGTTCCCCTTGACTTCAAGGGAAACCGAGACAGGATCTTGGAGTCCATTCGCATCGCCAAGGAGCAAGGCGCAAGGCTCAGGACCGGCCCGGAACTGGAGATTCCCGGCTATGGCTGCCTTGACCATCATCTTGAAGGTACTTACACGCGGTTCTTGGTGGGAGCTTGTCCACTCTCAGGAGGCGGGTTGAGCTGACTACCCGACCAGGCGACACCTTCCTTCACAGTTGGGAGGTGCTCACCGAGATCATCAGCGATCCTGTGTGCAAGGACATGCTGATTGACTTGGGCATGGGCTGTCGCCACCGCAACGTGCGGTACAACTGTCGCGTTCTATGCACCTACAAGCACATCTACCTCATCAGACCAAAGGTAGGCGGCTCGGAACCTGTGAGACGGTCGTCGCTGACTGCTCGCAGCAAAGCCTTGCCAACGATGGCCTTTACCGCGAAGCCCGCCATTTCTCGGCATGGACGAAGCTCAGAGAGGTCGAGACCTACTACCTGGAGGCCGTCGCCGCTGAGGTTACCGGCCAGAAAACAGTCCCCATCGGCGACTTGATTCTCAGCACTCTCGATACTGCCGTGAGCTGTGAGACTTGCGAGGAGATGTTCTCGCCGCTGAACCCCTCGACTTTCCTTGGCCTCAACGGAGCCGAGATCATCCTCAACAGCAGCGCCAGCCACGCTGAGCTTCGGAAACTCAAGACTCGTCTCGATCTCATCTCGAACTCCACCAGGAAACTGGGCGGTATATACGTCTATGCCAATGCCACTGGCGTTGACGGCGAAGCACGTATGCTAGTATGTTCTTGTCTGGTTTATAATACTTCCTGCAACACTGGTGAACTAACACCAATCAGTTCGATGGTTCGAGCATGGTGCTTGCCAATGGCAAGGTCCTTGCGCAGTCCTCCCAATTCTCGCTGAAGCCGGTCGAGGTCATCACTGCCACTGTCTCTGTCGAAGAGGTCCGGAGCTATCGCTCGAGCATCTCACGGAACTTCCAGGCTGCAGCACAGCCTGATTTCCCGAGGGTTGAGTGCGACTTGCGACTGACAAGACCAGCCGACGAGATCTACCTGTCAGATCATCTCCATATTGCGAGTGAGACCGAGCTCAAGATCCTTGATCCCATGGAAGAAATCGCCATGGCCCAAGCAGTCTTCCTTTGGCAGTATCTCTGCCGCACAAATTCGCCTGGCTACTTCCTTGCCCTGAGCGGTGGCTTGGACTCTTCGACGGTCGCGCTCTTCGTCTACAGCATGGCCAAGCTCGTGCTCCAGTCCATTGAAGCCGGGGAGATGTCCACGCTGGATGATCTTAGACGCGTCACTGGCGATCGAACGTTCATGCCCGAGACGCCGCAGGAGATTGTCTCGAGTCTGCTTCACACTTGCTACATGGGTACCATCAACAGCGGGGATGACACGAGGTCAAGAGCCCGTCGACTTGCCCAGGAGCTTGGTGCTTACCACTCTGATATCTCGATCGATGAAGCCGTGCAAGCTCACGAAGCCATCATCGAGAAGACGCTGAAGTTCAAACCCAGATATGGGGTTGAAGGCGGAAGTCCGGCCGAGAACGTAAGTTTGCTTGATGGAGAAACGGCGGCAACTCTATTTACATTGCTGGGCCTCCGCTAACAAAACATACAGCTTGCGCGTCAGAACATTCAGGCAAGAAACCGACTGGTCGTTCAGTACGAGCTGGCTCAGCTTTCAACGACGGCAAGGCAACTCTCACGAGCGGGTGCTGCACTTCTAGTGCTAGGCAGCGGGAATGTTGATGAGAACCTTCGCGGTTACTATACAAAATAGTGAGTCTCGTTTTTCTGACGACTCAGACCGTCTGCCCTACTGACCGTGTCAGCGACGCATCATCAGCGGATATTGCTCCGCTCGGGAGCATCTCAAAAACAGACGCCAAGAGCTTCCAAGCCTGGGCAAGAGATCAGTGGGACCTCCCCATCTTGACCGAGTTTCTGGAGGCAACGCCTTCAGCCGAGCTTCTTCCCCTTTCTGCTGGAGTCCAAGATGATGAGGCAGACACCGAAATGGGTCTGACGTACAGGAAAGTATCCACGACAACCTCGGGCGAAAGGGTTTGAACTAACCTTTCTGCAGCGAACTCTCTGAGTTTGGCATCCTGAGAAAGGTGCACAAGCTTGGACCATGGACCACTTACCTCCGGCTTCTCGGGGATTGGAAAGAAAGGCCAGGCTACGGCCCGCGGCAGATTGCCGAGCGGGTAAAGAGGTTCTTCCGCTTCTACTCCATCAACCGCCACAAGGCCGTCATCCTCACCCCGTCGCCGCATCTCTCGGCGTACAACCCGGACGACAACCGCCACGACCTTCGACCCTTCTTGTACGTCGTCACTTGGCCATGGCAGTTTGGCAAGATTGACGCACACGCGGAGGAGCTCGAGAGGAAGATCGCGGACAGTGACAGGCCGGCGGATACTCAGTACAAAGCGCTCGACTAGGAGACGAGCCGCGAGAGACTGGATGACGCATACAGGCGCATGGCAGGCTGAGATATCGTACATGAGAGGAACCTAGTTCCACATGAAGACGTGACTCGTCAATACTCATATTTCATATTCCCAGATCATTGACCTCGTCCTGTCTCAACCATCCGGTGTTTGGCATTGTAATACTCTTCAGGGCGGTCAAGGTGTCGCCGGTTTGTTGTCCCGACCGGAGTTGTTTGTCGTGGTCGCCGTCCATCACTGTCTCACGGCTTAGATAAAACCACAGTTTTCCGTCTCCTATTCAGCTGCGAGCTGCTGTGCCTTCGACGGTCCTCACCGTTTCCTACTCAGCTCATTATGTGCGCCTTGTCACGGTGATACGCACCGAGGGTGGAGGAGGAACGACTCGGTCCAAAGAATTCCGCAAACAGCACTCCTTGTCATAGCCAGGCCCGGGAACACCCATGATATCTGGGTACAATTTAGAGTAGCGATTCTTCATGGAGGATCTCGCTGGCCCAGAAACCCATCACAACAGCCTCCATAGGTAACAGGAACCCTGCCACGTCCTCAGGCGGCACCGTCCCCGCCAAACTACTTCACTTGAACTCCGCGTTCCGTGTTGGGAGCTTCTCGCCCAACTTCTCCCCTGCGACGACGGGCATGTCCGCCGCCGCGAGCACGGCAAAGAGCCTCGCCACCGTCTCCTCGCTCGCGTTGCGCCACCCATGGATCGTGCCCCGCTACACAAACACGTCGCCATTGCCCAGTGTGACCGTCTCGCCGCTGTCGAGGAAGATCTCCAGCTCGCCGTCGACGACGACGCCCGTGTTGACGGCCTCGGTGCGGTGGAGCGGGGCGCCGGGGCCGTCGGATAATGCGATGCCGACGTTGTGCGGGAGGTGGGATTTGTAGGTCGCCAGGTCGGCGTCCGAGGCGAGGGACACGGGGAGGCAGGCGGCCGTGTAGACGAAGCAGGCGTCCGCGCCGAGGTAGGGGATTTTGGGGAGAGGTTGGGGAAGGAGGTTTCGAGGACGGGCTGGCCCGAGACGTTGTGGGTTGTGATTATGCGCCGCGGGGCGAGGAGGAGGTCGTAGGTTTGTGGCGGGGACGACATGTTGTGAGGGCTTGAGGGCGTGGTTGCCGTTGTGGTTTTGGTGAGATGGGTTTGCGAAGGTTAGTCGTGGACCCTTTGGGGTCTTTTGGTCCTTTTATATTCGTGGAAAGGCCGTGTGATCTTACACTTTCGATCACAGGTGATTGCCTCGTGGTTCTTGTCACCGGCAGAGCATTCTCAGATCGACCTGGCCCAGGAACGAACTGTGCACAATTACGTTGTCTGAAACGATCGATATTCGCCAATCCGTTGCCTTTGAACCTACGAGATCTGGAGGCATGTCCATCGCAGAGGTGTTGGTTCGTCGCCTCGGCGCTAGGACTCCCTTCGCCTGATGCAGGGTTAAGCTGTAAGCTTTTGCAGGGGTTACTGGTTCGCCAAAATACAAAAAAGACGAAAAAAGGCTATATCTCACGACGGACAGAGGCAGGGTTTGGAGCTGGTTCCGATGGAAGCCATTTGTTCGTGACCGAGTAGACTTCGTTTCTCCATCTCCCATTATCTCCGTTGGCAATCGGCTCCCGAGGGGGCGCTGGATTCTTTGTGTTGATGACGGAGCAATAAGGAAATCGCCTGACATCGAGGGAGATTCTTGGTAATATAAACCACTTCTCGCTTTTGTATGGGTCAATCTAAATATAGTTACTGGGTCAAGATACGGTTTCTGGCTCCTGCAACCTCGACGAACCTATCAGCCCAAACCAAGGCTCTCGTTTGACGACTGCTTCACAGGTCACCTTTTCCATGGACGGCTTTGCATTCCCTTGGTCCGTTGATTAGAACATTTGTTAATGAATGCTTTGGTGAAGTTTTCTCATCAAACGTACACGCCCAGGCAGTTCTATCATGCACAAACCAGATATAAGGCAGAATTACTTTTATTCATTGATGTAAGTTGGGGCTTTTTATGGATAGTTACAATCTTTACTTAACACGTCTTGCCTCAACACTTTCCCGATAAAAACAAGCATGGTTGTGCCCAGAGAAGCCCCCTTGACTAAAGCTTGATCGAGTAATACGTGCATTACCGATTCAATTATGTCTTCGCCGTGCTACTTTCATTTCGGACTTGCCATTCCTATATTGACGAAAACCCTTGGGAGTGAATTCCCCTTTGACTTCCGAATCAGTTTACAATCTTTGATCACCACTGTACAAGCCCATATTACCACTGCCCCTGCTTCGCAGGCTCATCAACACGAAACGCATACTGATGGTTCTGGTGCTGCTGCACCGCGTCAAACACATCGTGCTTGAAGACCAACAGACCCTGGCTGTTCCACGCCTGAGCTAACACCATCTTGGTCATCACATGCTGCGGGCGAAAATTGGTCAACACATCCATCTCCCGAGCCCCGACAACGAGATGTGCCGTCCACCCACCGCCACCGGCACCCTTCATGACATACCGGCGTGCATGGATTCAGCCGTGCTTCTTGAGATCGTCAGGTCACGCATCCGGGTGATGCAGCCCGTCTCTGGGATAACGTTCTGCTCGGACATGTACAGACCTTCGCGCAAGAGGCGGGCGACGTCCTGAGCCTGAACATAGAAAAGGGCTTCCCACTGCATCTGGGAGTAGTCGTGCTTGATTTTGGGGTCGACGTCCGAGTAATGTGCCAGGATCATATTGTGGCAGACGGCTTGTGTGGTGTTTTTGTGAGTTACCCCTCGAGATGGTTTGCTTGTGTTGGAGCCCATGGTTAAGTATTGTTTGAAGTGAATTGTATTGGGTTTTCGTTCTCGCAATGGGAAGGATTATATTTTGTACGTCTGGTACGTGAATTTTGGAGATGATTGAACGTGAAAGGCAATGCTGTGAGGCAAAAGGAAGAACGTCCTTACAATGTGGTTGCTGATACTGATAATGAGACTAGGATAACTAGCTATCTCCACCAAATAGTATCACAGACAATCAGTTTGAGTTGGAACTTGCAGCGGCTATATCTAGGTAGCGAATTCCAATTCTCGAGAAAACTAAGTCGACGAGAGAAGATTAATAGAGCAGACCTTGAGGATAGTGTAAAATAGTCATGTTTGATTACTGTATGAGATGCAGTTCAGTTGACCGCCTCCGCAGCATCCATAGATTATTACGCTGTGCTTTGATCTCGTCTAAATTTATACCCATGAATAGTCTCTTGTTTCATTTACGTCTTCCATTCGTCGACCAGCCACCTACTGGATTTGAAGAAGCCAGCCGTCGCCCTCTTTTCCCAACGCACTAACGCCACCCCAGAAAATTACACTCTTCGCATCGGCGGCGTCTGCGCCGAAGAACCCTCGCGGGCCAGGGTGGGCCTTGCCCTCTGTCTTTACCTCCTCTGTCGGGACGAGTTCTACCTCAGCCCAGCTGAACTCCCCAGAATCGATGCGGGGGAGCTTGTCACGGATAGCATCCTTGACAGCGGCGGCACTGAAGCCGTGGGTCGGCAATTGCAGAGCCCAAATGTCCGTGTAATAATCCTTCTCGGCAGAACTGCTGTTCTCGCCGAACATGTAGACCAGGTAGTGTCTGCCGACTCCGGTATTGACGGGGACAAGAGCCCCCCCTTCACGGGGGCGAGGGCCTGGGGTTAACGGGTTCGTGGGAAAGTTGACCGTCTTCCACTGTAGGGCGTTAGGCTTCTCGCGATCCTCGGCGTTGGACTTCAGATCGAGGTAGTGGATGGCGCCGCTCATACTAGAGTCGGCTCCGATAGTGTAGAGAACGTTGTCAACAAAGGCGGCGGCCAGGGGTGCCTGAGGCGATGATGGCAGCTCCGTCCACGCGAGAGTATCAAAATTGTACATCCAGGTCTCGGTAGATGCCTGCTGTCCCTTGGATGTGCGTCCACCGTGCAAAACAAGGAAGTCCTGAGCCTGATCAACAAATATATGGTGGTCGAATCTGGGTGTAAGGGTCTTGCCAATTTGGCTCGCCCCCTCAATCTTGGTCCATTTCAGACTCTCAGAGTCCCACAGCCACAAACACGTCTCTTCGATGGGCTTGCCACTAGCATCGGCGCCACCCTGAATGATCACGAACTGGCCACGTGCAGCAGCAGCGTGTCTTGAGCGCGGAGACGGCACATAAGTCTTTCCAGTCTCAACATCCTGCATTGCAAATGCGGGATAGCAGGCATACGCTGCGACGGGCTCTCCCTTGGTCATGGCCGGCAAGGAGAGGACGTGGAAGTCGGTAGAACTCAGCTGACCTTCAGCCGCCTCGCCGCCAAAGATACATGCCTTGTGATTGACGACAGTGACTGAATGATGTGAGCGTGCGAGGGCGCTGTAAGAAAGTATTAGAGGATGTTTTCAGGATAGGGGGAAGGTTATTTCAAGACTCACGAAACGTCAAACGCGGGAGACTGGGTGGTGGCGATTTGAGAGAGAGATACTTTCAGGGGCTGAGTCGGTCGTGCCACGGCGACGGCAGCTCCTACCTCAACGCCAGTCGACACGATTTGCTCGGCAACAAGAGCGCCTGCTGCGACTTCAGCCATCGTGGTGATTGCTTGATGTTGTGAGAGAGTGTGTGAGGGTGACGTGCAGAGGTCCGAGGGATGCGTCGGTGTAGGCTGCGAACGTTTTTCTGTAGGTGTTTCGTACAGGAAACTTCGAGATGTGAAAGTTGTATCGAAGGCCTGCTGATAACGTTTGTAGTTAAAGTCTTCTGCCCAACAAAATGCAGTTAATGGTTGAGGCTGGAGTGATGCTGCATTGAAATGTGAGGAAGGACTGGGGAACGTTGGATGACGTAGGTCTGCCATCGCTGCCTCCTACAAACGGTATGACGTCACGTGCTTCTGTCCGATCATCCTTCCCCGTATAAAAATGGACTTGTCTGCCAATTGACGTATGAAGTGATAGTCAGTGATGTAGGGATAAACTGAGGATTCAGGGACTTAAAAAATGGATGAACACGGGATCAGATTGCTACGAGCTGCTGCTCTGGGCCGAAGCGTGTAGTTCCGGCTGACCGGCTACCTAGTCAGTCACCCACCTTCTTGACCCAGTCTAACACGAGGCAACCAACCTAACAACTTAAATTACATTGGAATCATCTCTCGAAAGCTTACATACTCTGGAATTAAGAGAATAGGGAAACCGTCTCCGCCACATAGACTGGATTACCTCGAAAGATTAGCAGCCATCGTTAACACCTAAGGTCGCTGGCATCAGGTGAGCCTGTGCGTCTAATGATGAAACCAAGATCAGCTAAAGCTGCCGCCTCCTCTGGATCAGTTTGAGGCATGCCATCGTCTTTTGAAGTCACACCACCTCCAAAAGGACGTGATGTATCTCCTTTGAGGTGCTTTCCACTGACAGTATAGCTCGCAGCTCCGTCTGCACTGTGAATGTCCATTGGCTCCTCGCCTACTTGCCAACGTTGCAGACCAGGTGACCTCGAAGCACCCCTTCCAAGCGTGAAGAGAGAGGCAAAAGGGGACTTTCGCGGGGTTAATTCGTTAAGGTAGCCGGTTATCGGAAGATAATAGCAAGCAACCACCACTTCGCCTTTGTACGCGCCAGAAATGGCTTTGTGTCGCGTTTTTCTCACACTTGCTTGGGTAGTGATACCTGTCCCAGGTATTCCAGAAACCTTGTCAGGCAAGAGCTGCACTGCTCCACCACTGTCGGTGACAGTCTCCGTATCCAGGTTGATTGACATGTCTGTACAAGTGATGAAGCCGGCAATGACGCCAACGACGCCCTTTGGTCCTTTATTGTCTTGGCCCAGGATCAGATCGCGAACGCCCTTTTCGTACTCGGCCACCTTGAGAAGCTCTTTTATTCTTTGACGTGGATTCTCCCGGATCTCGATAACTCGCAGGAGAGTGGTATTCCATTCGTTAGCCTGCCTCCCCGTGTGGTTGCCCCATAGCTTGAGGAGTTTAGTGAATTCGGCTCGAACATCCTTCTCGACCGTTTGTTCTTTCAGCCAGGTAACATCTGTGCACTCGACAGCTGTCGGTGGGTATAATCTTTTCGGCTCTTGAACGTGATCTTTTGGCTTGAACGGTGTCTCGGGGCGACAGGAGCTCAGTGGTCGAAGCAGGTTGTCGGTTGGGAGACCGAGTAGGCGATCGAAAAGCTCGTTATCATCATCTAGCGGAATAACACCGTCAAGAAGATGATACGGCTTTTCTTCTCGGGTACGTGTAACCATGATGCCTCAGCCTTGAGTTGAAGCTGATGAGAGTATACTGTATTGCTCCGCGAGCAAATGCAAACTTGGTAGACAGAATGAATAGTTCATGGCTTTGTGAAGATCGGGCAAAGGAGTAAGACAAAGAGTTCAGAGCTATTTGGCCTTCTAGAAGTGGAAGACGTACAGGCAGCATCCAGTCCTCCTATGTTTGAGTGCCAAGAAAGCCTCGCCATGCGAACTGCAGATGGTCCGCAGAGAGCCATTGGTCTCCGAAGTTCGAAGCTATCGATCAACCGAAGTTCCGATTGCGACGGGCGCTATTAATGCAAGGCAAGATGCATGTAAGACGCCGAGGACAAGTTCTGGTTCAGCGCTGAACCGAGGTGTGCCACCCTGCAGGCTCTGCGCCACCTACATGGCGTTTCTACGAGGCTATGGTTCCCCTAATAGGATGGTGGTCAACTCCACAAGGCTATAAGTTGGATTCAGAGGCGTTCAAAACAAACAGAGCTTCTCCAAAGGACTTTCGAGCTATCTGATCATCGAAGTCAAACATGATTGGCCTACATGCTCAATCGGCGAGACAGCAAGGATCATCCTCATCGACAAGCTCAGATCATCACCCTAGGGAGTGGATCTGGGAGCTCACTGTTCGAAAATGTATTTCAAAGGCCCCTCTGCGCAAGTGGGAAGTGGATATTATCGAGAATAATATCAAGCGACCGAAGCCAACCAAGCTCGAAGACCCTAGGAGCTCCCAATCGTACGACGAGCACGATAAATACCTTCACTCCCCCGGGGCTGTGATTTTATCCGGTTCTGTCCTCGACGAAGGCACTAGGAATCAAAAAATTAAGAACTATTGCGCTAGAATCGGCGAGCAACTAGGCTTGAACAAAAAGTCCAGCCCAAAATCGCTGCGATTGTTGAAAATCTACATTTGCGAGGACTCTACATGTACCGATACCGAAAGTTGCAGTATACACGCGCTCGTGTGGGAACTTCTGGAGCATGACACATTCAAACAACTTTATGGATTCTCGGTGCGTATAACTCGCATTATATGCGGCATTGGAAACAGTTCAATCACCCCAAGATGGGTGAGTGGCACCGCAGTCGCTGTCAATGTCTTGCTAGTCTTGGCTCGAAGTTGGCAACGGGCTTCATCGCCAGCTCGTCGATCGGATTATTTTGTGGATCACCCTCCGGAAATGGTGCATCACACTTTGTATCAACTAGCGAAGTTTTTGCGTCGACAAGGACATAAGTTCACGTTGCATGTCGTACGCCCAGGAGGAATAGAGGGGTTGAGCAACCATTTGGAAACCGCGAAGTTGTCCGGATTCTCGTATGACATGGTTCACTTTGACCTTCACGGGAGGATCGACCCGTAAGTTCCTTGTCCAGCTCAGCTAAAGGCATTTCTATGTTCTGCGTTGTCTAAGAAATCTTTCTTCAGTGAAACCGGAAAACCTGAACTGTTATTTGCGTTGCCCTGGAGTCTCGCGAGGAATCGCAAGCTAAACAACACGAACGATATACCAGATTTCTCCTCGTCTGCCTTCAAATCTGTCCCAGCCGATGAGCTCGCAGAACTCATCTCGCACCACGGTATCGGATCAGTAGCACTAAGCTCCTGCCAATCAGCCTATGCGCAGAAAGGACCCATCAGCAACCTCTGCCGCACGCTATTGAGCAATGGAGTGGGTGCGGTGACAGCAATGTCCTTCACAGTCCGAGGAGCCGCTGCCAATCTATACTACGAAGGGTTCTACTCCTCTCTGTTCATTGCCAACAAGTCTTGTAGTGATGCATCGGCCGAGGGGAGAGAACACCTTCGTAAGCATGGAAGCGAAGTATTGGGACAAGCAGAAATCGAGCCTTTCGCGATAGGAAGCCACTGGGTTGGGAAGAGAACCGATAGCTCTAACTGGAACTCTGTTCCGCTCACAGTGCTTAGGAAACGTCAGTATGAACTCACGCCCTGGGGAACAATGATTTCGTTTCTGTTGTTCTTATTGCTGCTTTTCAAAGCAGATGCCATTGATCCCAAAATCCAGTGGGCTATTGCGTTTATCATTCTGCTAACGTTTCTTTATCAAATGTCCCCTTGGTCGGTTGACTTCACTGTACTGCGGGAAAACGCTTCAGGCCGTTACTGCAGCCCCTCGGAGTCCAGAATGAAGTTTCTCAACACTTTGCGCTCACAGTCAACTGAGAGGTCTGGATTAGGCATCGGCACCATGGTGCTCGAGGACCAGCTTGTAGCTGAGGTCAACCTTTTCGTTCAGCTGGAATCTACGCCAATGTCACCTAAGCAGGAAGCAGAACTTCTTTATGTTGTTGATACTTGGCGAACTACTGAGTTTGTGGATGATGTTACCCTCATCGAAAGCAAGGAGCTCGTTTCAGTAACATGGTACGTGAAGGACTACTTGAAGCAGAAAGGTCTTAGTCTCATCCGTCGGTGGTATGGAACAGCTTCGTGCAGTTCCTGTCACGGGAAAACGGGGAAGTGGGATGGCAAGGGGCCTAAATCCCGGGCATCAATGTTCATTTTCACAGGGTTTGATTACATTTTCAGGGATGAAGTTCCAGAAAAGTCCAGAACAAGGGCACTAGCACGCATTTCCAGCCTTGCAAGAAGAGTCTCTAGGACTCAGTTGCTGTATTTGATCTTCATTGGGAACGCTGACGTTCCATGGGAGTCAGGGGACATCGATGCCAACGATCACGAATGGGTTGTTGGACCAAAGCTTCTCGGAAAACGTGATTTGGGAATGTAGGAAGAATGTGAGTGACAAATCGCTTGGGTCATAGATTTACTCTTCAAACACACAAAGCTCAACTAGTTACTACCACATTGATGTATAGCAATATGAAAGATGATAAGAATAACGACGCTGTGATACGTGCACCACACTGTTGGGCTAGCTATCATAGAGTTACTGTGTGTGAGGCAAGATACTTTGTAGTCGCGTAAGACCGAGACATGAAGTGATCACTTTGTAATTTACTCTCTGGAATGTGTAGCATACAGGCAGGTATCCAAAAACAATTGTCTACTGGCATCTCAAGCTCTACGGATCTGCTGTATCCATATCGACATGTAGAGTTTGCAAGATTTCGAGGCGCCAATGAATCCTTGCCGTTGCAGATGACCATCGATTTGTAAGCCCGGATGCACAAACTGTCACATGCCCAAACGAAATTTTAGCCTGCATATCGACCTGTGAGCTGAGTTCCTGCTGACCACCCTCTTTTCTTGACATACAAAAGTGAGGCGACATCTCACCGTTGCAGCAGGTTGATGTGTAAATAGTGGAAAGCAGTCTGTCAGGCAACGACTAG